GATTTTCACAACCATGTAGAGAAATTGGAAATACAATGGCATGGGTAATCAATTACATATCTTTACATTTCAGGATCTTGTCTAGGCCTCTCAGAGCTGCCCTTCTGTTTACTTGGGGGAGTTATACGCACTTTCCAAAACGCACAGACCTCTTTCTTAAATTCAGTGAAAACAACCTAATAATGATCTTTAAACTGTTAAGACAACCAAGGATTTTTTCAATTAGATACGCCTCCTTGACTTGTACTGGAAAATGGCAAAATACAAATGTATTTTGAGGGGGGAAAGGAGAGTGAGTAGTCAAAGACTGCACTGCAGTTTCAATGGACACATCTGTTCCGGCATGTGGTTTAATGCAGTGTTGTAAGAGCAACAAGCAATGTAATCAGCTATGAAAGTCAGCCTGCTGTTGTGGTAAGAAAACAAAGGCCAGTATGTTTAACTGCAAATGAAGATCAATGTATTTAACTGCAAGCGAAACCCAATATCTTAATTTTCTGCAATGTAAACAAATTAAAAGAAGAGCATCCCCTTTCCAGTACCTCAAAATCTGAAATATTCCAAGGTCCAAAATTGTCCACATAGTTTGCTGAGATAATACTTTCATTTTCTGATGGCTCAATGTACACAAACAAAATCGGCACAATTATTTTTAAATGTTGCAAAAATGATGTATATAAAGGGTACATGAAAACATGTGTGATGTGTTGTCGAAGGCTTTCATGACTGGACATGCCGCATTATCACGGGGTGTCTGCGCCCTATACCACTGCAGAAATTACACTGCTTAGCCGGTATTGCACCACCTGACATCCGCTGGGAAGTAGCAGCCAATAGTGAAAGGACCAAGGCAGAGACATCTCCAGCTCATCCCCCGTTTGGGTATCAGCCAGCATGTCAATGACTTAAATCTAGAAATAGTATTCTAAGATCTACAGAGACACCGCAGCAAGCAAGAGTCCAAAAGTGGCAGGCTCAAACCCAGAACCTCAATCCATGGCTGATACCAAATGAGAGACACCCCCCTGGGCACACAGAGGACTGGGCGACTTGGAAGGTGCTGAACAGACTGCATTCTGGCACCACGAGATGCAGAGCCAACCTTCAGAAATGGGGCTACAAAGTGAAGTCCACAACATGCGAGTGTGGAGAGGAGCAAACCACTGACCACCTGCTGCAATGCACCCTGAGCCCTGCCACATGCACAAGGGAGGACCTCCTTGCGGCAACAACAGAGGCACTCCGAGTGGCCAGATACTGGTCAAAGGACATTTAATCAACTACCAAACTCACAAATTCTGTATTTTGTCTGTTTGTTTGCTTTGTTCTGTTGGAAATGTAATATAATTGACTGGTTGCCCTGACATGACAAATAAATAAATGACTGGTATCACTGGGTTGCTGTGCATTTTTTGGGTTGTATGGCTATGTTCCAGAAGCATTCTCTACTGACGTTTTGCCCACATCTATGGTAGGCATCCTAAGAGGTTGAGGGGTCTCAACCTCTGAGGATGCCTACCATAGATGTGAGCGAAAACGTGCAATGTGATCCGCCCTGAGTCCCCTTTGGACTGAGAAGGGCGGAATATAAATACTATAAATAAATAATAAAACATGTGTGAGTTTTGTGGGCTATCTTCAAGATACCTCATTATGCATGTCTATACGGTGGCGCAGTGAGTTAAAGCACTGAGCTGCTGAGATTTTTGATCGAAAGGTCACAGGTTCGATTCCGGGGAGCGGCGTGAGCTTCCGCTGTCAGCCCTAGCTTCTGCCAACCTAGCAGTTTGAAAACATGTAAATGTGAGTAGATCAATAGGTACCGTTCCAACGGGAAGGTAACAGCGCTCCATGCAGTCATGCCGGCCACATGACCTTGGAGGTGTCTACGGACAACGCTAGCTCTTTGGCTTAGAAATGGAGATGAGCACCACACCCCAGAGTCAGACATGACTGGACTTAATATCAGGGGACTACCTTTACCTTTACCTATGCAAATAAAAACATTTCAAAATCTAATAAATACATCCAAAATCCAAAGTACGTCTGATAAGAGATACTCAATCTGTACAGCTGTATCACAAATAACAGATTGAAAAGCCAGGCCAAACAAGACAAAGAACAGATGGACAGATCTGATAGTAAACTGAATAAAGGGTATTCAACAACAGAAAATGTAACACTCTCACTTATGCATATAGTTGTTGGACGTACAGTAAATCTATTGTAACAAATAGCGAAGTGAATATGCTAGTTTGCATCAACTCTCAGAACACATGAAAAAGAGATTACCAGTATATACTCGAGTATAAGCCCACCCAATGTAAGCCGAGGCACCCAATTTCACCCTAAAAAGCTGGGAAAATGTATTGACTCGAGTATAAGCCGAGGGTGGGAAATGCAGCAGCTACCAGGTAAATTTCAAAATAAAAATAGATACCAATAAAATGGCATTAATGGAGGCATCAGTAGGTTCAATGTTTTTGAATCTATATAAATAAAAATGTAATGTTCGTTTGTGGGATTAGCCGAACTCAGAAACCACTGGACAAATTGGTGCCAAATTTGGACACAAGACACCTACTATCCCAAGGAGTGACCATCACTCAACCCCCCCCCCCCCCCCGATATTTGTCATTTGGGATTTGTAGCTACTGGGATTTACAGTTCACCTACAATCCACCAACAATTGGTTCAATTCCACCAACAATGGAATTGAACCAATCTTGGCACATAGGACTCCCATGACCAACAGGAAATTCTGGAAGGGTTTGGTGGGCATTGAGCTTGTATTTTGGTTCACCTACATCTAGAGAGCACTGTGGACTCAAACAAGGATGGATCTGGACCAAACTTGGCAGGAATACTCCATATGCCCAAATGTGAACTCAGATGGAGTTTGTGGGAAATAGACCTTGACGTTTAGGAGTTGTAGTTACTGGGATTTATAGTTCACCTACAATCAAAGAGCATTCTGAACCCCAGCAATGACTGAATTTGGGCTAACTTCCCACACAGAACCCCCATGAGCAACAGAAAATACTTAAGGCCATCCAATCCAACTCCTTTCACCAGGGCAAGAAAACATAATTAAAGCCCTCCTGACAAAGAGCCATCCAGCCATAGATATAGATATTTATTTATTTATTTATTTATTTACTCTATTTGTATACCGCATATATCAGCCTGAGGCGGCGACTCAATGCGGTTTACAGTAAAAGCAACACTAAACAATATATGAGACGCACAATACAAACAACACACATAATCATCAACGCCATACTTAGAATCAGATTCCGATCTCTAAGTCCTTTTCCATTCCTTGTCTGATGCCGTCATTATTGAGTTAGTTGTTACTACACAGTTATCCAAATGCCTGCTCGTAGAGCCACGTCTTCACCTTCCTCCGAAACACCAGCAACGAAGGGGCCTGCCTGATGTCCACCGGTAACGCATTCCATAGCCGAGGGGCCACCACCGAGAAGGCCCTGTCTCTCGTGCCCGCCAGCCGCACTTGTGACGCCGGCGGGACCGAGAGCAGGGCCTCCCCGGACGATCTTAACATCCTCGCCGGTTCATAGGTGGAGATGCGTTCGGAGAGGTAGGTGGGGCCGGAACCGTGTAGGGCTTTATAGGCTAAAGCCAGCACCTTGAATTGTGCTCGGTAGCAAATTGGCAGCCAGTGGAGCTGGCTCAACAGGGGGGTGGTATGCTCCCTGAGAGCCGCTCCCGTTAACAACCTGGCTGCCGAGCGCTGGACCATCTGAAGCTTCCGGGCAGTCTTCAAGGGCAACCCCACGTAGAGCGCGTTGCAGTAATCTATACGGGATGTGACAAGAGCGTGGACTACCGTAGCCAAGTCCGACCTCCCAAGATACGGGCGCAGCTGGCGCACAAGCCGAAGCTGTGCAAATGCTCCTCTGGACACCGCTGAAACTTGGGGTTCCAAGCTTAGCGAAGAGTCCAGAGTCACACCCAAGCTGCGAACCTGCGTCTTCAGGGGGAGTGTAACCCCGTCCAACAGGCTGTAACCCTATACCTGTTCGGCCTTTCGACTGACCAGGAGTGCCTCTGTCTTGTCTGGATTCAACTTCAATTTGTTCACCCTCATCCAGTCCGACACAGCAGCCAAGCACCGGTTCAGGACCTGAACAGCCTCCTTAGTAGTAGGTGGAAAGGAGTGACAGAGCTGGACGTCATCTGCGTACAGATAACACCTCACTCCAAAACTCCGGATGATCTCTCCCAACGGCTTCATGTAGATGTTAAATATATATAGATAGATATGATTCACACACACAGATATAGTATCATAGATTTGAAAGGGACCCCTAAAAGAGGACGATTATATGTTGCATGTTCCAGAGTAGGCAAACCAGACAATCTCCACATCAACACTGACAAAGAAGCAGGAAGAAATGCTGTTTACCCACAAGCATAAATAAATTGCATATATTAGAAACCAACACGTTCTCATTACTTTATTTTCCAGATCACCAGACTGGGCCACAGCAATGCAATGCAGGGTATAATTCGAGGGGGGCTTTTTCAGCCTAAAAAGGGGGCTTAAAAACTCATCTTATACTTGAGTATATGCAGAATATTTCATATGCTGGTAGCACCATCAAATGCAACATTTAATTGATCTCCTTATTTTACACAACCAAGTTTTTCAAATAAGGTAGAATCAACCCATATACTTTGTAAAAAAATAAAACATTACAGAAAGATTTCAAACTGGGTGTTTATTCTTCCACTATATACTGCCTGAAATTTCAGATCCTTAAGGATATTTAAGGTGATGTTGTCCATTTACCTAGACAATGTGAGATGGAAGCCAAAGGTAATTGGGAAAAAAATGGAGGTAACTCCAGATAGATATAGATTAGCTGATAAATGTCACAGAAACCTCCACTGCTCAGGATTTGTGAAAGAAACAAGGACAAGGAACTACACTTGTTTCAACAATGAAACTTTTAAAAAAAATGTAGGACTGTTACCTAGAACATTCCCTGAAGGTACGTCCTGCAGATCCTCTAGTTCTTTTCCCATCAGTAAATAGAGTTCCTCCACGGTGCAGCAAGACAGGTGAGGCACTGAGGGCAGATCATCCGAAGCAGAACATCCAAGAGGAAGCTACGGCCAGGGGAGGGGAGGGGAAAAATAAGTCAGTATATGTTTATTGTTCTCAGAGCATGCCCAGTGTGGAATGCCTCTCACCACGCTAAAACAGTAGATGTGTCTCTTAATGAGACATGCCACATTATCACGGGGTGTGTGCGCCCTACACCACTGGAGAAATTACACTGTTTAGCCGGTATTGCACCACCTGACATAGCAGCCAATAATGAAAGGGCCAAGGCAGTAGTGGAACTCTACCCCTTGGAGTGTGGTGGAGCCTTCTTTGGAAGCTTTTAAACAGAGGCTGGATGGCATCTGTCAGGGGTGATTTGAATGCAATATTCCTGCTTCTTGGCAGGGGGTTGGACTGGATGGCCCATGAGGTCTCTTCCAACTCTTTGATTCTATGATTCTAACTGACCAACTTGAGTAGTATTTAATGGCCTGGCAGTGACATCTCCAGCTCATCCCCTGTTTGGATATCAGGCAGCATGTCAACGACTTAAATCAAGAAATAGTTTTCTAAGATCTACAGAGACACTCGCTGGAACACCTCAGCAAGCGAGAGTCCAAAAGTGGCAGGCTCAAACCCAGAACCTCAACAATGGCTGATACCAAATGAGAGACTCCCCCTGGGCACATGGAGGACTTGGAAGGCGCTGAACAGACTGCGCTCTGGCACCACGAGATGCAGAGCCAACCTTCAGAAATGGGGCCACAAAGTGGAATCACGACATGCGAGTGTGGAGAAGAGCAAACCACTGACCACCTGCTGCAATGCAACCTGAGCCCTGCCACATGCACAAGGGAGGAGCTTCTTGCAGCAACACCAGAAGCACTCCAAGTGGCCAGATACTGGTCAAAGGACATTTAACCAACTACCAAGCTTGCAAACTCTGTATCTTTTGTATGTTTGTTTGTTTTGTTAAAAATGTAATACAAATGTCTGGTTGCTCCAGACACGATAAATAAGCTCTTAATAATCTTTATTTTTTTCTCTCTCTCTTTTAAAAGGTACTATGTGATCAGGGTAATTTTCTTCTGCTTCATGCCAAGATGCAGAAAAAAGTCCTAAAGACAGGATTATATTAATAAATATAATCTAAATTCTAAATTCTCCAACTGATGTTTTACATTCATCATTCTACTCTCCCTGCTTTCATCTTGTAATTAAGCCCATTTTAACAAACTTATTTAATCAAGTTTTATTGTATTTAGTTAATTATTAGAGGAGTTGTAGGATAGTAAAGGCAAAGGTTTCCCCTGACATTAAGTCTAGTCATGTCTGACTCTGGGAGGTGGTGCTAATGTCTATTTATAAGCCATAGAGCCAGCGTTGTCCATAGACACCTCCAAGGTCATGTGGCCAGCATGACTACATGGAGCACTGTTACCTTCCCCCCAGGGCAGTACCTATTTATCTACTCACATTTGCATGTTTTCAAAATTCTAGGTTGGCAGAAGCTGTATAGCCATTAGTATTTGTTTGTTGTGTATTTTTGTTTTTTATTGTCCATATGGTCGGTGGACTAGTCAATAAACAGAACTATATATTCATAAATACATAAGAGAAGTATTAAAAGATGCTAAAAGAAAAATATTTGAAGAAAATAAAATATTAACCATGTATTGTCGAAGGCTTTCATGGCCGGAATCACTGGGTTGTTGTAGGTTTTTTTCGGGCTATATGAACATTTTCTAGAGGCATTTTCTCCTGACGTTTCGCCTGCATCTATGGCAAGCATCCTCAGAGGTAGTGAGGTCTGTTGGAACTAGGAAAAAGGGGTTTATATATCTGTGGAATGACCAGGGTGGGACAAAGGACTATTGTGTGTTGGAGCTAGGTGTGAATCAAATGCTAATCAAGGTGGTCAGTTGAAACATTCACACCTAGCTCCAACAGACAAGAGTCCTTTGTCCCACCCTGGTCATGCCACAGACATATAAACCCTTTTTTCCTAGTTCCAACAGACCTCACTATCTCTGAGGATGCTTGCCATAGATGCAGGCGAAACGTCAGGAGAAAACGCCTCTAGAACATGGCCATATCACCTGAAAAAACCTACAACAACCCAATATAAACCATGTTTTTAAAAACAGCTCGGCATACTCTATCTTGCCCAACTTACCTTTTGCAATGATTCAGCAGGGTCATATTTTGGCCCAAGAACAAAGAGCTTCTCCCCCCTTTTCACAACTCCACTGAAGACCCTTGCAAAAGCAATAAACGCATCCTTGTTTTCCACTTCTTCTCTCAGTGTTGCTGGGAGCATCGTAGGCACCTGATTATCCCCTAATGAAGGGTCAAGAAAATAAGAACTATATATACATATGTTGACTTGCTTTATTCTATACCCAAGGCTAGTAGTGCTAATAGCACACAAAGTAATATCTATACACATAATAAAAGTGAAAGTATGTATGTGTGTGGCTGGGGTGTCCACTCCCACAGACAAACTCCCACTTCCACCAATGGCTCTCCCTCCAATGACATTGCAGGTTACAGTGAGTGCCATAAACATGTACAAGAGCCCTGCCCATGTCCTCCACAAACACCATACTGCCCACTACCCAAGTGAAAGCTTTCATACAAGGATAATTCCATCCTAAATTTTATGTGTTTCCTCCACTACAAACATGTCCACTACAAACATGTGTTTCTTACTCTCTCCATTGGAGTGGAATTTGAATGACCCTGTCCACTGCCCCTCCCTTAACCCTTAACCCTTTCCTATTCTTTTCTAAGATACACAGCAAGCAGAGGAATTGATCAGCAACTGAACATACTAGAAAGGTTTGAGGAGAATTCACCATGATTTACAGGAGTTGTATTTACTGGGATGTATAGTTTACCTGCGATCTAAGAGCACTCTGAACACCACCAACAATCAACCTGGAACTAACTTGGCACACAGAACCCTCATGACCAACGATGGACCTGGAACTAATCTGGCATTCAGTACCCCCATGACTAATCAATCATACTGGAGGTCTTTGAATGGAATTATAGGAATTGTAGTTCACCTCCATCCAGAGGACACTATGAACCCAAACAATGATGGATCTGGACTAAACTTGGCATGCATACCCGATATGCCCAAAGTTGAATACTGGTGGGTTTTGAAGGGAATCCCAGTTGTAGGTACTGGGATTTATAGTTCACCTGCAATCAATGAGCCCTCTGAACTCCACCAAAGATGGAATTGGACCAAACTTGGCACACAGAGGCCCCATGACCACCAAAAATACTGGAGGTCTTCAGGGGAAAGATTCACCTTGTTTGGGGGGAGTTGTAGTTCACCTGAATCCAGAGAGCACTGTGAACCCAAACACCGATGGATCTGGACCAAACTTGGCACACATACCTGATATGCCAAAATTTGATTACTGGAGGGGTTTGAGGGAAAAACTGGCTTTCCTTTCTGGGAGCTGAAGTTCACAGGCAACCAGAGAAACTGTGACCTCCACTGATGATGGACCTGGACTAAACTCAACCTACTGGAGGGGTTTGAGGAGACTGACTCACCTTAGTGGGAATTGTAGTTTACCCTACAGCCAGAGAGGACACCTAACCCCACCGATGACGCATCTAGAGCAAACTTGCCCAACATAACAAACTTTAAGTATTGATGGAGTTTTTCAGGGTTAACTTGGCATGATGTGAGTTATAGTTCTCCCACAACCTTATGCATTTTGTACAATTTAAAAACGGACTTTTTCAAATAACCCGGGCAACACCAAGTACCCAAGCTAGTAAAACCTTAAAATTGGGGTCTCAATGCCATTTAATTCAAAAACGCAGCTTTCTTCATAAAAGGAAATAAAATGACCAGTGACTCCTCAATGACTGATGGCATTTGTTTCTTGAAAAGAGGGGCAAAAACAGATATATCATAACTGGTGGGAGTTTGCCTCTCTACACATACAAATGAAGGGGGGTTGTTTGAAATGCTCTCCATTTACAATGGCCTTGCCTAGCTTGGAACTTTCCAGATATGTTGGAATACAACTTCTGTGATTATGGGAGTTGTAGTCTAACGTAGTCTAACGTATCTGACTAAGAAAGGCTGGTTTACAATGGCATGAACAACAAAAGTTTCTCCAGCAAAAACAAACCCAACCCAACTCTTCCTTTTGCTTACCTTTTGGCATTCCGTCCTTTAAAGAATGGTCTTCTGAATTTCCTCCAGAAGTCTGTTGTGTTGGCTCTAGCCCCTGGTTAGCCAACTTTTCAGCATGCCTTTGCTTTGCACGCTCACGCCGCTCAGCTATTTCTTCTTGTGAAAGTGGCCTATTGCACCATTAAAAACATCATCAACTATTGTAAGGCAGAACTATTTGGACTATTCTATGAAAGACCTGCAGTTTCTGAACATATTTTATCAGGTTTTCCAAGTGGCATTAATGTAAGTCATGTACAAAGACTCTCACTTACGCTTATAGTTGTTGGACGGATAATAAATCAATTGTAACAAATAACTAAGTGAATATGCTAGTTTGCATCAACAGTTAGAACACATGATAATTTTTTTTCATCTCGTACTTATATGTCCAGTATTTTGCTTACAAGTCCATGGATCTCTCTCCAAAACTTCTGAACTTTCTCACATGTCCATCAAAGATGGAAGAAAGTACCTTTCTTCCCTTCACACTTCCAACATGCTTTGGAAACATTCTTGTAACATTTAGCCAAAGTACGAGATGAAAGCTGAATACTACTTATTGGGAATACTGGATTTTGAAATTGAAAGGAATAAAGATAAACATGGCAATGGCGGCAAGACTGGAGATAGCAAGAAAGTGGAAAAATAAAGAACTAACCACGAAAGAAGAATGGAAATTAAAACTAATGGATATAATGAATATGGATGCATTAACACAATGCATGACAACCAGACAGAGGACTGGTGTAAGCAAGACTGACTGGACTCCAGTTGAGAGATGCCTAAAAGATAACCAATAACCGACAATAACCAATACACAATAGATAAGTCAAGAAGATAATCCCAATTGAAGACAAAAATAATAGGCCTGGTTGATCTAGAAAAAATTTGGTTCTAAAATCGATTTGTAATTGGGGTGTTTTTTTGTTTCGATATTTAAAATAATTACAAAATTTTCCCCCAAAAACGTTTTGGTATTTACGAAATTTTGTAAATATTAACGAATTTTTAGAATATTTTTTGTATTTTTTAAGAATAATATTAAAATAATATTAAAAATAATATTAAAAAATAATATTAAAAAATATTTAAAAATGGAAAATTAACCAAAAAATGGCCCAAATGTGGACCAAACACAGGCAGGAGACAGCAAATGAGAGCACACACCAACAGAAGAGTCTTTTCTTTTTTAGAATATTTTTTGTATTTTTTAAGAATAATATTAAAATAATATTAAAAAAATAATATTAAAAATAATAATAAAAAATATTTAAAAATGGAAAATTAACCAAAAAATTAAGAAACAAATTCACAAAAACCGAAGGAAGTAATGAATCCAAGCAAGGAATATAAGCAGCACTCACAGCAGCAAGGAATGAATCCAAGCAAGGAATGAATCCAATCCAGTTGCTAGCCAAGCCAAGCCAACCCAATGCAAACCCTCCCGGACCTCTTCTCTCTCCCTCGCCCTCTGCAGCAATGAGCTACGGCCGCGCGGAGCCGCTTTGAAAGGGCTTGCCAGCCAATCAAAAACAAACAGCCACGGTGCACTGCTTGGGAGCGCTGGATTGGCTCCCAGGCACCAGCAGCCTCCATCCCATTAACGAAACGAGCGGAAGCTCGTTAAATCTATGGGGGTTGCCGGTTCGATATTTTTAAACCCTTCCGGGTTTGAAAATGTGTTTTGATATCGCTTCGTAAATGCCAAAAATAACGAATTAATAACGAATTACGAAATTAACGAACGAAACCGCACAGGCCTAAAAAATAACACTAACAAAGCTATTTGGGGCAAATCAGTAACTAAGAGAATTAACACTCTCAGTCACATTTTCCAACTTTTTGCACACCTTGCCCCTACCCTTTTTGGGTTTTTTTTTTACTTCCCCTTCACTGACTCCCCCTCTATCTTTTCTCTTTCCTCTGTTTTTAGATAAATAGTTGATATTTGACATGTCGATGATTAACATTCTCTCGATGTACTCTTGAACAAAAACCTTCAATAAAAATTATTATTTTTAAAAAACACAGGATAATGAAAATATATTTCATATGCTGGTAGTACCATCAAAATGAAGAAATGCTATAAAAGGCAACAGGATTCTAAAGATATTTCATAAGTATTATTCATGGCAGTTAAAGTGTTGTCAAACTGCATCAGTGTTATAGTGCAGTTGTACACCTAGTTTCAGATACAGGCACATTACCTTAATGAGGACTAACCAAAAAAGATCTAGATTTCCATACTGAGATTTAGTGTCTGGAGCAGAAAAAGATCAAATGGCATTTTTTCTCACCTTGGCTTGTTCTGAGGCAACATCTTAGAATCAACTGCAAACATCTTGGAAACAAAGACAATAACCGGGGCAATTTCTTCACTGCTGCATTTCATAAAAGCTAAGAAAACACAAATCCAAAATATTACACGTCTCTTCTACTTTGGATGAAAAAAAAATTGGTTCTACAAATATTTGTCAAAAGATATGTAAAGTGAAAGCAGGAAGGAAATTTATGTTAAATGTTTTCTAAGTCTCTGTCCTTTTGAACTTTGCAGAAAGCTGAATTGTTTTCAAAACTTTTAGGAAGGGAGAGAAATTCAGTAGGGGCCAATTTAGATTTCTATGAACTAGAGCTCTCCATTTTCAGACAAACTTTAGTTTTTGTTGCCATTTTTAGGTTTTAGAGAGGACAAAAAGGCAAAGATTTCCCCTTGACATGAAGTCTAGTCGAGTCTGACTCTGGGTGGTGGTGCTCATTTCCATTTCTAAGCCGAGCCAGTGTTGTCCATAGACACCTCCAAGGTCATGTGACCAGCATGATTTCATGGAGTGCCATTACCTTCCTGCTGGGGCGGTATTTATTTATTTACTATATTTATATACCATCCCTCTCAGCCCACAGGCGACTTGGGATGGTTTACAATTGGTGCCAAAACCATAAAATACAATTTCAATACAATAAAAACGATCGGATAATAAAACCATAACAAAATCAATAAAAACATGAACATTAGGGTCTCCTATTAAAAACATTTTCCATCATATTGTCCAACCATTCCGTTTCCCTATGTCTCTTACACTGTATTTGGCAATGTCTGCTAAAATAGCCAAGTCTTGACTCTCTTTCAAAATGTTAAAAGGGAGGGGGCCGATCTGATATCCTTGGGGAGGGTGTTCCATAGCTGAGGGGCTACCCCTGAGAAGGCCCTGTCTCTCGTCTCTGCCAAACATACTTGTGACGAAGGCGGTAAGAAGAGCAGGGCCTCCCTAGACGATCTTGAAGTCCTAGATGGTTCATAAGGGGAGATGCATTTGGACATGTAAGTTGGGCCAGAACGGTTTAGGGCTTTTTAGGCTAAAGCCAGCACTTTGAATTGTGCCCAGTAGCAAACTGGCAGCCAGTGGAGCTGACACAACAGAGGACTTGTGTGCTCCCTGAGGTCTGCTATTGTTAGCAATCTGGCTGCTGTCTGTTGGACAATTTGAAGCTTCTGGACAGTCTTCAAAGGCAACCCCACGTAGAGAGTGTTACAGTAGTCTATACAGGATGTAATCAGAATGTGGACTACCATGGCTAAGTCAAACTTCCCAAGGTATGGGCACAGCTGGTGCACAAGCTTTAACTGTGCAAATGCTCCCCTGCTCACCGCCGAAACTTCGGGTTTCAAGTTCAGCGATGAGACCAGGATCATACCCAGATTGCGAGCCTATTGTACCTATTAATCTATTCACATTTGCATGCTTTCAAACTGCTATGTTAGCATAAGCTGGGGCTAACAGCAGCAGCTCACCCCACTCCCTGGATTAGAACCACTGACCTTTTGATCAGTAAATTCAACAGCTTAGCAGTTTAACCTGCTGTGCAACCTGGGGCCCAAAGAGGATAGCTGTATTTAAACCTAGAGAATACCATGATAGAAATTAAGGATAGATATGGTGACGTAAAAAGGGAAATGGCTATATGCAGCCAATGACCTCCCTCTCATTTTAGGATATTATTCAGCAACATGGGAGTGCAGTTATTTTCTGCAGTTCCTCTCCTCCCTATTTTGCAATGTATTCAACCATTTCAAAATGAGTATTATTTGAATGGAGCATAACCTCCAAGCTGAATTGTCTACAATATTGACTCACCGTCTTTCAGCTCTTGTGTTTCTTGAGGCAGGCAATCAAATGCTTTAGTTCCCACAGACATTAATTTTTCAACTCTCTCAGCAGAAATATCAAGAGGACTAGGGAGTTTACTACAGACCATGGCTAAGCGCAAAGTGTTATGGAAACGTACGGATGTTCACTGCTTCAACATGAGTCAAAAAGAAACAGAAGATGATAGTATCCAGTAAGAATAATAAAATCCTAGAGTTGGAAGAGACCTTGTGGGCCATTCAGTCCAACCCCTTACCAAGAAGCAGGAGGATCACCTTCAAAGCACCCCTGACAGATGGCCACCCAGACTCTGCTTAAGAGCAAGAAATGCTTTCAACAAGGATCTCCAAAGCAATCAACTGGAATTAAAGCTCTACAAGGCATGTTTGGAAGTCCGATACAGAATGAGGATTGATTGATGATGAAACAAGAAGATATTTGGTTGGATGAATTCTGTTTTTTTCTCTTCTTCAACTCTTCTTCCAGGGAAGTCATGCTCCCCTTGCTCTATTCTGCCTTGGTCAGACCACACCTGGAATATTGTGTCCAATTCTGGGCACCACAATTGAAGAGAGATATTGACAAGCGGGAATGTCTCCAGAGGAGGGCAACTGAAATGATCAAGGGTCTGGAGGACAAGCCCTATGAGGAGCGGCTTAAAGAGCTGGGCATGTTAACCTGAAGAAGAGAAGGCTGAGATGAGACATGATAGCCATGTATAAATATGTGAGAGGAAGTCATAGGGAGGAGGGAGCACGCTTGTTTTCTGCTTCCCTGGAGACTAGGACGCAATGGAACAATGGCTTCAATCTACAAGAAAGGAGATTCCACCTGAACATTAGGAAGAACTTCCTGACCTTGAGATCTGTTCAGCAGTGGAACTCTCTGCTCTGGAGTGTGGTGGAGGCTCCTTCTTTGGAAGCTTTTAAACAGAGGCTGGATGGCCATCTAATTTTAAACAGAGGCTGGATGGCCATTTCTCCCTCTACGTCCCACCTCGGAGTTTAAGATCTTCTGGGGAGGCCCTGCTCTCAACCCTGCCTCTATCACAAGTGAGACTGGCGGGGACGAGGAGCAGGGCCTTCTCGGTGGTGGCCCCTCACCTGTGGAACTCCCCGGGGAGATTAGATCAGCGACTTCCCTTCTTTCATTCAGAAAAAAAAATTGAAGACCTGGATGTGGGACCAGGCATTTGGACACTCTGGCAGCTAAAGAAGAGACCTTGATGATGGGCAGGAATTGACGGAACGGAATGGATGTATGGAACTCTGAACACTAAGCATGAGATTAGTTTACTATTGTGTTATGTACTGATGATTTTAACCTGTTAACTGTTTAATTGCTTTATGTATGTATGTATGTATATGTGACATAGGCATCGAATTGTGCCTTCTTTTGTAAGCCGCCCTGAGTCCCCCCTCGGGGGAGAGAAGGGCGGGGTAGAAGTAACTGTAATAAATAAATAATAATCTGTCAGGGGTGCTTTGAATGCAATATTCCTGCTTCTAGGCAGGAGGTTGGAATGGATGGCCCATGAGGTCTCTTCCAACTCTATGATTCTATAATAAACTATTTTCTACATGAGGAAGCAATACATATTTAACCCCCACCCAATAAATATATATTGTTTTCTCTAAGGATACAAAGAACTGCCTCTGATACTGGCAGCCACTGGCTACAGATGGCATTGAGCTGAACCTTCGGATCAGTGTGAGATAATTCACGAACACCAATTTTCAGCTCCAGGGTGGCAACTATTTTATCAATTTTCTCCTTGTCTCTACAAAGGAAACAGAAATACACAGTTGGAAGTGCTGACCTGACTAGCTGATAAGAATATTCCAATTTAGCTACTTTAATGCTCCAAGTTGCCTACATATCCCAACCGACCTATTCTAAAAGGTTTTTCAAGCATACTAGTCCGTAGCCATAATTATTAAGTTCTCGCTTCAAATTTTACAGAATCCCAGCACAACACTTTCCACCTGTCATGATGAAGTAGACCAGGGAATGGAAACTATTTATTACTGCTACAGGGCAGGCCTATTTCTTCTCCTCTTCCATATGTGCATTTCCCTCCTGCAATATTTGCAAGCCCTATATATCTATGTTTATATCTATCTAGACAGCTCTCTCTCTGTGGGTGTGTGTATGTATGTGCATTTCCCCTGCAAAATTTGCAAGCCCTACATATCTATATTTATATACATCTAGACATGTCTATATATATTTGTGTGTGCATTTATCCCAGTAATATTTGCAAGCCCTACATATCTATATTCGTATATATCTAGACATGCCTAAATATATTTGTGTGTGCATTTCTCCCAGTAACATTTGCAAGCCCTATATATCTATATTCATATATATCTATCTAGACATCTCTCTATTGATAAATATATCTACATAGAATTTGCAAATACTTGCAAAGATGTGAGGAGAAAATTCATATAGAAAATTATTTCTATATACACACTTATACATACACACAGAAATACAAATATATAGGTACTCCTCTATATTTAATCAATATCTATATAGGATTTGAAGACTTGCAAAGATGTGAGGAGAAAATTCATATATCAAATTATTTCTATATACACACTTATACATACACACAGATATACAAATATATAGGTACCCCTCTATATTTAATCAATATCTATATAGGATTTGAAGACTTGCAAAGATGTGAGGAGAAAATTCATATATAAAATTATTTCTATATACACATATATACATACACAAAGATATACAAATATATAGGTACCTCTATATATTTAATCAATATCAATATCTAGATAGGATTTGAAGACTTGCAAGCATGTGAGGAGAAAATTCATATATAAAATTATTTCTATATACACATACATATATATACACACACAAATATCAATATCAATATCTATATAGGATTTGAAGACTTGCAAATGTGAGGAGAAAATTCATACATAAAAATAATGTATACATATAGATACAGATAATATATAGGTACATAGGGATTGCAGGGGGAAATTCCAATATGTAATAAATATTATATATTGGAAAATATTAATAAATATTTCAGGGGAAAATGCTTTAATAAGATTAATGGGTATTCCTGACTTGCAAAGGCTTCTCTCCCTCTCCAGAGAGTGAGAGAGGGGTTGGAAAAGAAAATACACTACTAAGGGAGGGAAAGAGGAGAGAGAAATAAATCATATATTGCAAGCAATGGCTTCCAGGCTCCCCTACCTGGCTTGACACCATTATTTGCTGAGGGAGGCTTTTTCTGCCCAACCAAAGAGCTGAAAAACTCAGCTTATCTTCGAGTATATACAGTAATCCACTTTGAGCTGATTGTGGGGGGAGCTATGGACAAAGCCACCTCAAAAGGTTTGGGGGGGGGGGCTGCACTTTGGGCTCCCACGCGCTACATAAAGCCCATAGCCCACTTTGTCCACTTCTGTATCATGAAGTTCAGTGAGATTATGTAACAAATTTTCAACTTACAAGAAAAATATCTTTCTGCTATAAGTTATTTTAAAAAGACCCTCTGTTTATTGTGACCAAGAGAGATCTCTTCTGATTACCTTTTCACAACTGCATCATAGAGGCTCCATATGTTTTCCAGCACCAGTTGCACAAACAAAGGCTTCTTTCCTTTCAACTGGAACAAAACAGAGGGTTACATGAACAGAGAGCACCCAATGCAATGTTAAAGCTGGTCTGATTTAGAACTCTGAAAGAACAGCATCTCCCATTGTGACTGTAGCATATTTGTGCTACAAGGAACGAAATGAAAAAGCATATTAATCCATACTAATCTGAAATGGACAATTCTGTATAATATGTACAACCTCAACAAGGGTTTGCCCTTCCTCATCTAGTTTAAGGCTCCATCTGGACTGCCATATAATGCAGATTGAGTTGCACCGAAGTGGATTATATGGGTCTTCACAGCCAGTACATGTTGGAAATAGCAACCCTCCAAACCTTCACTATTTGTTTGTTAATGTATATACTTGCTAACCTGTATTATATGTATATATTGATTTGCCAGTTTGACTGACCTCTTTGGTGTGGGAGAGACCACAGACATGTGATTGTATGGAGAATGTTAAGACTCTACACTCCATTTTTGTTATCAGAATGTTTTGGGGCTTATTGCAAGAACAGTTTACTAAATGGGTTGTTGTAGGTTTTTTTCGGGCTATATGGCCATGTTCTAGGGGCATTCTCTCCTGACGTTTTGCCTGCATCTATGGCAAGCATCCTCAGAGGTAGTGAGGTCTGTTGGAACTAGGAGAAAGGGTTTATATATCTGTGGAATGACCAGGGTGGGACAAAGGACTCTTGTCTGCTGGAGCTAGGTGTGAATGTTTCAACTGACCACCTTGATTAGCATAGAATGGTCTGACAGTGCCTAGAGCAAACTTTTGTTGAGAGGTGATTAGATGTCCTTGTTTGTTTCCTCTCTGTTGTTGTGATGTTGTAATTTTAGAGTTTTTTAATACTGGTTTCCTTAAACAGTGGGTTGACTGCTCCCTATAATTCACACCAGTTAGTGGTCTGGCTGCCGCTCGTTGGACCAATTGGAATTTCCGGGCTGTCTTCAAGGGCAGCCCCACGTAGAGCGCATTGCAATAGTCAAATTTAGAGGTAACTAAGGCGTGGACTAACACGGCCAAATCTAACTTCACGAGGTACGGTCGCAGCTGGCACCTATAATTCTGTTACTATGTAATGTGCTATACATATTGATAATGGCACTGAATATCAATAATAGTACTCGAAATTGTGTATTCATCAAATAATAACAATAAATAATAATAACACTTTATTTGTACCCCGCTACCATCTCCCCAAGGGACTCGGTGCGGCTTACATGAGGCTGAGCCCAAATACAACAATACAAGCAATAACAACAACAATTCAAGCAATTAAAATAAAAAATATAGACAATAAAATATGCAACAATTAACAAAAATCTAATTGAAAGATTCAAAACATATTTTTGGACCACAACACTGCATTGTTCTCGATTTTGAAAACATTGTGTGTGCAAAATTATCTACAATTATTATTATTATTATTATTATTATTATTATTATTATTATTATTATTATTCCTGACTGGAGAAAGGTGAGTTAAATGAGCCCAGACATAGTACCTGGTCAGTTTTCATGATCTTCTTGGCTTTTGTATTGAGATAATAATCTCCCCATAGTGTCTTCAGGAGCACCGATTGTTTTATTCCCATTTTCTGGCTGTACAGTTTAGCAAAATGTTCAATGCTGGGATACAAGAAGAAGTAAGTTATTTGGAACAATTCTATGTATCAACTGAAATAGTTATTATATTGCAGATTTCACAAATACAGTTATATTCTTCATGTGGTATCATTGTAACTGCAGTATTGTATAATTGATACATTTTATCTATAAGCCTAAGAAGCTACTCTAAGGAAAGAAGATATGCCAGAATGTGTATTATGAACTCCTGATAAGAATATTAGGGATGACTCAAAAGTACTATTATACAGGGCTGACATCAGCACACGACACAGGCAGGCAAATGGCAGTATGTTCAGGCTCCAAATGGGTCCTCTGGAAATTATTATTACTTATTACCTGCCTCTCCTTTTGGGTTGAGGTGGGACACAAGATAGTTAAGTACGTGTTACTTTGCTAAATGCACTGTGCAATGTAATTACTATTACATACAGAACATAGTTCATTAAAATGCAACAATAAAAGCCCACATCTATATAAATAAAAATGTAATGTTCGTTTGTGGGATTAACATAACTCAAAAACCACGGGATGAATTGCCGCCAAATTTGGCCTCAAGACATCTACTAACCTAAGGAGTGACCATCACTAAAAAAATTGATTTTGTCATTTGGGAGTTGTAGTTGCTGGGATTTATAGTTCACCTACAATCAAAGAGCATTCTGAACTCCACCAATGATGGAATTGAACCAAACGTGGCACACAGGACTCCCATAAACAACAGAAAACACTAGAAAGGTTTCATGGACATGGACCTTGAGTTTGGGAGTTGTAGTTCACTTACATCCAGAAAGCACTGTGGACTCAAAAATGATTGATCTGGACCAAACTTGGCACGAATATTCCATATGCCCAAATGTGAACACTGGTGGAGTTTGGGGAAAATAGACTTTGACATTTGGGAGTTGTAGTTGCTGGGATTTATAGTTCACCTACAATCAAAGAACATTCTGAACCTCACCAACGACAGATTTGGGGCAAACTTCCCACACAGAACCCCCATACTTAAGGCCATCCAGTCCAACTCTCTTCACCAGGGCAAGAAAATGCAATCAAAGCCCTCCTGACAAAGAGCCATCCAGTCATAAATATAGATAGATAGATATGATTCTCTCTCACACACACACAGATATAGGATCATAGATTTGAAAGAGACCCTTAAAGAAAGACAATTATATATTGCGTGTTCCAGAGTAGGCAAACCAGACACTCTCCACATCAACACTGACAAAGAAACAGTAAGAAATACTGTTTACCCACAAGCATAAAGAAATCATATATATTAGAAACCAACACTTTCTCATTACTTTATTTTCCAGATCCCCAGACTGGGCCACAGCAATGCGTGGCAGGGACGGCTAGTTAAAACATATTGAAATACTTGGGACAAAAGTTAAAACAAAATAAACACAAAATACGATGTTAAAGTTATGGTTAAAATTGGCTGGGTAGGCCAAAAGTAGGCCAATAAATGGCATCACAAGCACAGCAATACCAATCACACAGATAGATTGTAAGCCATTTTCATGTTTACTTTCCTTTCCAACAAGAAGACCGAACAAAACATCTCAAGGATGATTACAGACACATCTTTACATGAAAATACTGAGGGGAAAATAAGCAACTTCTGAAAGCCATGCAAAGATTTGTTATGTTCTGGTCCTAGTTCAAAATGCAGGTTAACTTTTGAAGGCTCAAAGCAATCTAGGTGAAAGGTATTTTACTGCATCCCCTCACGACTTCTGATCTGTTAGATATACTTTCTACCAAACCAAGAAGCTTGGGCCTGCTGCCATTGTTAGTTTATTTCAGGGTCAAACATTCCACCAACACCACCAAATTCCAAACTGTTTATTTTTTGAGAGCCCAAATGAAATAATCCTTGAAACTCTACTGCATCTACAGATTCAACAGGAAAGAAAACACTGCTTAGAATCATACTTATTTTTAATGAGCAGTCCTGGCTTCCTTAAGAGAAGGGACTCCTTACATATGTTGGAAATGAAGTCTGAAACACTTGGAGGACCAAAGGTAGAGAAGGACAATGGTTTAGTGGAACATTCTCAATCCCATCATTGATGTCTCCAATTAAATAGGTCAAACAGATAGGAAATTTAATTATTTATTTACTATATTTATATCTCGCTCTCTCACCCCAAGGGGTACTCAGAGCGACTTATAACATGGCAATATTTAATGCCACATACAATAAAAGAAAAAGCAATACATCTATCTAAATAAAAATGTAATGTTCATTTGTGGGATTAACATAACTCAAAAACCACTGGATGAATTGACTCCAAATTTGGACACAATACACCTATCAGGCCAATGAGTGACCATCACTCATTAAAACACTGAAAAACACGACTTCAAAAGCCAAAAAATAAAATAAAAATACAAAAATACATTACATTACAACATATGTGCAAAACCACAGAAATACACATATACACAAATATATACACACACACAAAACACATATACACAGACTGGGCCACAGCAACATGTGGCAGGAGACAGCTAGTCATATATAAAGTTACAAATAAAAATATCTAGACACCATAAAAATAAATCCAGGAGTCATAATTTGTATTGATACAGATAAATATTGCACCACCCAATGCCTATCCAAACACCTGATCCCATAACCAGTTTTTCACTGTTTTCCTAAAACCAGGAGGGAGAGGGCCAGTCTGATACCACTAGGGAGGGAGTTCCATAGCTGAGGGGCCACCACTGGGAAGGGCCTCTCGTCCCCATCAGTTGTGCTTGCGATGGGGGTGGGACTGAGAGCAGGGCCTCCTTCGCAGATCTTAACTCTCTAACCGGTTCATAGAGAGAGATACGTTCGGACAGGTAAGTTGGACTGGAGCAGTTTAGAGCTTTTTAGGCTAAAGCCATCACTTTGAATTGTGCTCGGTAGCAGACCGGCAGCCAGTGGAGCTGATGAAACAGGGGGGTTGTATGCTCCCTTTACATCACTCCGGTGAGCAGCCTGGCTGCCACCCGTTGAACCACTTGGTGCTTCTGAATAGTCTTAAAAGGCAGCCCTAAGTAGGATAGACCTTTGCTGGAAACAGAACAGCAGATGTACCTATAATATCATTCCAGAACTATGGAGAAAGGAAAATAATGTTGAGTAACATGCAAACATCAGTTTTATTCTCCAGGTAGAGAGACAGTAAAAACTACCTCTGTTTTAATATGAAATAACTTTTTACATGCTGTTACATGTACAAAATGCATAAGTAAACAGTTTTAGTGATCCATAAATTGAACAGATGCTTTCACTATCTATAAACTCACCCAAAACCCCAGCCATCGATTGCACTGGCAAATACCACATTTCCTTGATCTGGAGAAAAGTAAAGGTGGGAATCGTCAGTGCATTCCAGTCCCGCACTCCAGTCATAAACTTGATCTCCGTGAGCAGAATCAGAAGGCAGGTGGGTTTCCTCCTTTTTTTCAGCCCTTTCTTCAAGGACTTTAGAGGTGAAGAGAGTTGCAGTGATTGCATTCACCTAGAAGACATGTTTAAAAAATGTTGTAAAGCAATGCTCCTCTTAATGTTCCCCCAGCAAAAGCAAGATTATTCCCCTGGGCAGCTAAACCTGGAAATCCCAAAGGGATGGCCTCCCACGAGGGTCTTACTCCAGCGGCAACCCAAGAATGGGAAACTTGGAACAGACTCAGAAGTGGAGTGGGAAGATCAAAAAACAACATGGCAAAATGGCACTACTTAGATTGTGATTGTGGAGCAGAACAAACAACTCTGCATCTGTATGCTTGCCCACAATGCCCTGCCTCATGCACAGAGGCAGAACTGCTTAAAGCTACAGACAATTACCGTATATTCCGGCATATAAGACGACTGGGCGTATAAGACGACCCCCAACTTTTCCAGTTAAAATATAGAGTTAATACGACTCCCATGCATAAGACTACACCTGCGTATAAGACGACCCCTGACTTTTGAAAAGATTTTCTTGGGTTAAAAAGTAGTCTTATACGCCAGAATATACTGTACCCTTTTTTGTCTAAAATTATTTAGTCACTTGTGTTCCCTCTACTTTATCAGTTTTATACTTATTAATGCAATGTTTTTGACACGAAATAAATAGCCTAAAAGACATATTCATTTGATATATTTTCATAATGACATCCCATTTTTTGTCCTATAATAATCAGCACAGCTTCCAAACAGCTATACTTTCAAATTTAAAAAAAAGCAAACAAGTTTGTGCTGCTATTAATCCTAAAACGCTCTAGAAATTTCATGCTGGCAGTAACCACTAAGGTGATATTACTTGCTGTTTTCGCTCCAGATAACAAGGAGCACAGAACCTGATCCAGAGCTCAAAGAAAGGAATAGATGAAAACAGACGGTTTCTAAGAGTCAAACTAAATTTGATGGTATCAGTGTTTTTAATTGATGTTTTCATTTTCCCATGTTATTTCTGGTTTTCTAGAATGTCTACTCCTCTGAAGCTTATGTTTTTGTGACAGGTAGGTTGATATAAACTAAAATTCACATCCAATTTAAAATAGTGGTATTTTAGAAGACACATTTTGCCCAATGAATGCTCCATATTCTCACCCAAAATATAAATTCTTTTCAGTTGGCAAATAGAACACTGACAACGACAACAACAAAACTTTATTACGGTCCATGGACCTACAGCTGTTAAATAAATAACATACAGGAATTTACAAATCCTTCATAACCACGGAAATAAATTATACAGGCACATGCTACACAGTGTCAGGTAACTGATCGGAGATTAGACACTTTCTCATTTTCCATGGAAAGAGGTGGGATTGGTTTCAAGAACACTACTTTAAAACATGACATATTATGTTAATTTTGCTCCTGCATCCAGGCTACTTAGTTATTAAAGTTGAAACCTGCACTTTTAATTTGACTTGAAAACTAATAACTCTGAAAGCGGCTTTAGAACTGATGCCTTGTGCTTAGTAATTGGCAAACTTAATAGTCAGTAACTGTGTTTGTGAACATATGTTTCTTCACGAATGTTTTCAGAAGAAAAGGAGGAAGACTGTGGCGCAGCTGGTTAGGAGTCAGCTGCATTAAGATCACTACAGACCAAAAGGTCATGAGTTCGAAGCCAGCACGGGTTGGAGTGAGCTTCCGACCAATTTGTATAGCTTGCTGTCGACCTTAGCAGCCCGAAAGACAGTTGCATCTGTCAAGTAGGAAATTTAGGTACCGCTTATGCGGCTAATTTATGACACCATAAAATCTCCAGCAAGCATGTAAAGAATGAGGAAGTACTTCATCGGTGTCACAAATGGACGGTGAAGCGACAGCTCCCCTGGTGGCCAGAATACCTTCATGAAAGAAAAAAAAAGCTGGAATGTTAAATAGCCTCTGTGTGTCTGTCTATATATGTTGTGTGTCTGTGACATTGAATGTTTGCCATGTATATGTACATTATAATCCGCCCTGAGTCTGCTGCGGGGTGAGAAGGGCGGAATATAAATACTGTAAATAAATAATAAATAGAGGAGGAAGAAGGAGGAAAAAGGAGGAGGGTGAGGGGATAGGGAGAAGGGAGGAAGAAACCAACCCAAACCATCTGTACTGAACCATAATCAAAGTAGGGCCATGGTTTACTTGCTATATTCTGCAAACATATTCATTTATTCTCGAAACTGATTACAAAGAACGATGAAGTGAAAAATATCTCATACCTGTTCCAAGATATTCTTAAGGTGAGCATATGCTTCCTGAGGTGTAAACTTGAGCTCCAATATGAGGCGATCTATTTTATTAATCACCAAGACGGGACGGATGTTTTCTAGCCAAGCCTGTCGCAGCACTGCATGTGTCTAATACAACAGAATAGATGCTCAGTGACACAATGTCATAAAAGACTTAAGCAAAACGTTGATTGTCACTCTGGAGTAGTACGAGTATATAAACAAACAAGAGCCGTTTAGGAAGAGCGAGCATATTGACCCATTTGGCCCTATTAAAGCCTTGTCCATTTAAACAAAAACATGGCTTCGTTATTATGCACAATACTCAAGTGAGATTAAATGGTCTACTAGGATTAAAATTAACCCAACTGTGGACACTATCTGCGATTTAAATTTTCAAGATAATTTTTACTTTTTATTCATTTTAAATAGTCAAAAATAATTTGCTCCTTTTGCCTCTTGGTAAGAATATCAATTAGGAACATTATATTTTCTTTTTTAATTTTCCCAATCACCTGTGGGCAGACTCCTTCCACAGCATCGACGATAATGATGCAGCCATCGCAAAGTCGAACAGCTGTGGACACTTCGGATGAAAAGTCCACATGGCCAGGGGAGTCTATCAGGTTGATGAGATACTCCTGATTGTCTAGAACAGGGAGAAAATGAACTAAAATTTTAATAAACAGTAAATATTTAGAACCCCACCCCCCTAAAAAAAGATGTATAGGTTTAAGGCTATTGTTTGTACTATCTCTAAATTAGTTTGTGAAAGTATCATTTCTTTCCTTCCTCCCAAAGTTTGTCATAAACAAAAGGGAAAGTAATAATGATATCTGAGAAGCAAACTACATATAATTAATCTGGATGTACACATTTTGGGTTACAAGGTGGAATGTTTGTGAGAAACTGCATTTGCTTTGTTAAAAGAAAGCATTCAATTGGATAAGGTTTAAAAACACTTAGAAGGCCAGTTACTATTTGCCAGCCCCATTAGTGGTGAATGCAGTGGAATATATATACACACACACACAAGCTGTACCTTCTTTCCTTCCTTCCTTTGCTTTTTGCTTCCATTCTTCCTTTTGTCTTTCCTTCCTTCCCTCTTTCTTTCTTTCTCTTCTTCCTTTGTGTCCTCTTTCCTTCCTTTCCTTTTTTTTCTTTTCTTCTCTCCTTCCTTCTTTCTCTGCCCATTTCTTTCCATCCTTCTTCTTTTCCTCTTTCTCTACTTTATTCCTTCTCTACCTCTTTCCTTCCTTCCTTCCTTCCTTCCTTCCTTCCTTCCTTCCTTCCTTCCTTCCTTCCTTCCTTCCTTCGCTCTTTACTTCCATGCTTCCTTCTCACTTTCCTTCATTCCTCCCTTCTTTCTTTTCCCCTTCCTTCCCTCCCTCTTCGCTTTTTTCGGAATATCATTTATCTTTTCGTCATTTATCTTTTGGGGGTTTTTAAGTCCTTTCCACTGGCTTTTTGGGGGGGGGTTATGAGTGAGGGACACTCATTGATCTATTAGGAGTGTTGTGTCCAAATTTCGTGTCATTTCGTCCAGTGGTTTTTGAGTTATGGTAATCCCACAAACAAACATTACATTTTTGTTTATATAGATATATATATAGCAAGAGTTTAAATAGACATTATGATTATTGTTACTAATTAATAGATATTGGACCCAACTTTTTATCAACTTTAGGAAGGATAACTATTTATCTTTTCTATGTGTGCTAATGAAATTAATATCTAATAAGAAGGAGAGTGTTCCCTTGCTATTTTGCAGTTTGCTTTATGTGGACTCACTGTATGACATTTTTAGAAATATCAATAATAAATTAATATGCATTATTTACATACAATGGGCCTCGGAGGCTTGTGTACAGGCTGGGACTCCCTCCGCCCTTTCCTGGCCTCCGCAGATCTGGCAAAGCGGTGGCCAGAGATGTGGCGGGGAAGGCCTGTCTCTCTGGCCTCCACAGACCCTGGGGTCTGCGGAGGCCAGAAGGACAGCACAGAAGGTTGGGGTCTGCAGAGGCCAGAGGCGCGCAAAGTAGGGACACTATATTAATTTTAATGTTTATACATTATGCTAAAATAATGTACAAATATTAAAATTAACATAGCGCCCCTATTTTGCGGATTTTCACTTATTACAGGTGGTCCTGGAACGGCACACCTGCGATAAGTGAAGAAACACTGTATAATTTCGTTCAGTGTTTAAAAAAAGATTGATGAGGCTCAATTAGTGCAAAAGATTGGAAGTCTTTCAGTTTTTTCTTTACTCTTTCTTTCATTTTTATTATTTTATCTCTTTTCCCATTTGATGTAGGATGTAAGTGTTTTGCACGATAGGTAAAGGGTAAAGGTTGTCCCCTGACATTAAGTCCAGTCATGTCTGACTCTGGGGTGGTGGTGCTCATCTCCATTTCTAAGCCGAAGAGCCAGCGTTGTCCGTAGACACCTCCAAGGTCATGTGGCCGGCATGACTGCATGGAGCGCCCTTACCTTCCCGCCGGAGCGGTACCTATTGATCTACTCACATTTGCATGTTTTTGAACTGCTAGGTTGGCAGAAGCTAGGGCTGACAGCGGAAGCTCACGCCGCTCCCCGGAATCGAACCTGCGACCTTTCGATCAACAAGCTCAGCAGCTCAGTGCTTTAAACCACTGCGCCACCGGTATAACTGCGCACGATATAATTATGTATTATATACTGTATACACTCGAGTATAAGCTGAGTTTTTCAACCCTTTTTTAAGACTGAAAAAGCTCTCCTCAGCTTATACTCAAGTCAAGGTTATTTATTATTTTACTCTGTTATTATTTTATTACATTTATTATTTTACATCATTTATTGTTATTATTACATTTATTATTTTACACTATTACTATTATTACATTATTTTACTCCATTATTATCATTATTATTACATTTATTATTTCAAATGATGATTACTATTACATTTATTATTTTACACTATTATTATTGGAAGGATACGTAAGCACATTTACACTGAAAAAAGTTAGAATTGTTTAATCAGAATTGGACAGTCTTACTTTAAATTACAGTTTTATGTAAATATTCAAAAACATTTAACTTACTGCTGCCTCAATTAATGTAATTTTATTGGTATCTATTTTTATTTTGAAATTTGCCACTAGCTGTTGCATTTCCCACTCTCGGCTTATATTGTGTCGTGGTATGTTGTTAATGTTTACTGCTTTGTTTTGAGTTGATTTGTTGTTGTATTGTTGTTGTTTTTACTGATGTATGTGGGCTCGGCCTCTTGTAAGCCGCACTGAGTCCTCCGGGAGATGGTAGTGGGGTATAAATAAAGGTTTATTATTATTATTATTATTATTATTATTATTATTATTATTATTACTCGAGTTAATATGTTTTCTTAGTTTTTTTTGGTAAAATTAGGTGCCTCGTCTTATATTAGGGTCGGCTTCTACTCCAGTATATACGGTAATTTTAATGAGAATTGTTAAAAAACAGAATAAATATACTGAGACAGAATATACTAACTTCATCACCTTTTGCAAACAACAATGAAATTGCACTTGATTTCATTGTAATGCCTCTAATCTGCTCATCTTCTCGGCTGTCCAAATACCTCAGCTGTAAAAATCAGAAAGAGTGGTATTGTCAGAAGCTTTTGAATGAGAAAAAATTGATAGAACAAAAATAATAACTCTGATTGGAATGATGGAAATGCTTAAATCTTACCTTTCCTGCCAATCGGTTAGAAATAATTCCATTGCTAGAAATAAGACAGTCAGCTAACGTGGTTTTCCCTGAGGGAGGGGAAGAAGAAAGGAAACACCAAAAACAAAGAAGGAATTCAATTTAAAACATCACAATTAAGATTGTAAGCATTGCTTCCTGACATCTATGACTATATATCAACTACCTTTATTAGCACATAATGTACAATCGTCCTTATCTGGCACTGGGTTATTTACGGACAGTCAATGATACATGTTGAAAAATTTATGCGATCCTTACTGACTCGATTAATGGCGCAAACATGTTTAGAAAGCAAAATTTCACTTTGTTTGCTGACTGTGAACAAAGAGAAATGTCTAAAGTTACGTAAAGTTTTGGATTTTAGTGTGTGCTTTACTTCTTTTGAATAGTTTTATTCCCCCCCCCAATATCACTTGTATGCATTGCTGATGTAAAATAAAATAACATCTACACAATTAACGAATTAAATAAATATAAATTCAAGACAATGTGTTGTTATAGAACAGTTGTTCACATCATTGAGGTTTCCTTACCATGGTCCACATGAGCCAAAATACAGATATTTCTGATATTGGCAGTCTTTTTCTGAAGCTCAATTATCTTTTTTGTCTTGATGAGAACCATGGCTGGACACAATGCTGTAAGGAAAAGGATTTTATATTGAAAACACCACAAAGTTCTAACATTGGACTTAAACATGAAAACAAAGAAGACTGGGTTTCCCAGGGTCACAGAGACAAACATTAAATAAAAAAATAAATTTATGCTGGAAATGTAAACAAAAGACTGGACCATTTAATCATATTTGGTGGACTTGCCTAAAGGCTTTAGCCCAGGCATAGGCAAACTTTGGCTCTCCAGGTGTTTTGGACTCCAACTCCCACAACTGCTGACAGCCTCAGGCCCTTTCTTTTTTCTCAGCTGCTTAAGCTGAGTTATTTGAGTTATTTTTTTTCTCTTTTTCTGAAAACAAAATTTATTTTACCCAGAATAGATAGAAAACATCTCTCATTTATTATTTATTTATTTATTTATTTATTTACTGCATTTATTGACCGCCGCTCTCAGCCCTAGGGCGACTCGCGGCGGTGCACAACATATAAAAACAGTTTACAAAAAGGGCAAAACAGGGAATCAATACAACAATAATACACTATAATCTAGTTACACTAAATAATCCGCTCCGTCACATCATAGAATCATAACCAATATCGTAATCCGTATTCCGTTCCAGTTGTCATTCTCATTAAAGCATAATTTCCTCTAACAAGTGCACTACATCTCCAAGGAATGTTACCCAGTTCTATTGTGTCTTAGTGTATTGTTTACTGCTTGTTGTTTATATTGCTTTAATTGTTTTTAATTTGCCTTATGTTTTGTATTGTTATATTGTGTGTTGAGGCCTTGGCCTTTGTAAGCCGCATCGAGTCCTTCGGGAGATGCTAGCGGGGTACAAATAAAGTTTAATAATAATAATAATAATAATAATAATTACTATATATCCCCCTCCACCATCACCACCTCAGATGCCAAGAACAATAATCAAGCACAACCCCATCTTGCCATGTAGGAATATCCAATCCAAGCCTTCCCAACAGATGGCCATCCAGCCTCTGTTTAGAAACCACCAGAAAGGAAACTGCACCAGACTCCAAGGGAATGCATTCCACTGTTGAACAGCTCTTTTCCATCAGGAAATCCTTCCTAATATTTAGGTGGAATCTTTTTTTCCAGCAATTTGAACCCATTGCTCCATATAGTAGGCCCCTTCCACACAGCTGAATAAAATCCCACATTATCTGCTTTGAACTGGAATATATGGCAGTGGGGATTCAGATAACCCAGTTCAAAGCACATATTGTGGGATTTTCTGCCTTGATATACTGGGTAATATGGCTGTGTGGAAGGGCCCCTAGTCTCCAGAGTAGCAGAAAAAAACCTTGTCCTCTCCTCAATGTGACATGCTTTCAAGTATTTAAAAAGTTACATCATCAGACTACACTTTAACTTCCATGTCTGTGTTTACAGTGTGATTCTGGCATTTATAGTTTCGGGGATACTTAGAACTTTCTCCTAGACATTTCTAATGCTGTAATTTAAACATCTCATGAAACTAAAAAACTGAAGTGGTGGAAAGCCTGGAGTGTTGGAAGAGGACTCTGGGGGTGCATCTACATCAGGCATGGGCAAACTTCGGCCCTCCAGGTGTTTGGACTCCAACTCCCACAATTCCTAACCTGTTAGGAATTGTGGGAGTCCAAAACACCTGGAGGGGCAAAATTGGACCATGCCTGATCTACACTGTAGAATTAATACAATCTGACACCATGTGAACAGCCATGTCTCAATACGATGGAATCCTGGGAGTCGTAGTTTAGTGAGGTGCCAGCCCTCTCTGGCAAGGGAAGTGGAAGACTTTGTAATACTGCAATGGCAGGCCAACAACATGTAATTACACGTCCCAGGATATCAAAGGAGTTGAAAAGGTATCAAACTGCAAAGTGGCTCCTACACAACAGAATTAGTGCAGTTTGACACCACGAGGGGCCCTTCCAGACAGGCCCTATATCTCAGGATCTCATCCCAGCTATTCTGTTTATCCCAGATTATCTGGCAGTGGGGAATCTCATATAATCCAGAATATCAAGGCAGAAAATCTCACGATATCGTTCATGAATGGCTTTTCAATAACTTTGAAGCATAGGTTCTTTTAATTGCAATTTCTAGTGTGAGAAGTCCTAGAGACAAAGTTGAAGTCCTTTGGCCACATCATGAGGAGACAGCAAAGCCTAGAGAAGGGAACGATGCTGGGGAAAGTGGAAGGTAAAAGGAAGAGGGGCCGACCAAGGGCAAGATGGATGGATGGCATCCTTGAAGTGACTGGACTGACCTTGAAGGAGCTGGGGGTGGTGACGGCCGACAGGGAGCTCTGGCCTGGGCTGGTCCATGAGGTCACGAAGAGTCAGAGACGACTGAACGAATGAACAATAACATCTGCTTTGAACAGGGTTATCTGTGTCCACACTGCCATATATCCCTGTTCTAAGCAGATAATGTGGGGTATTACTCAGTTGTGTGGAAGGGGCCATATAATCCGGTTTGAAGCAGAAAACCTGGGATCAGATCATGGGATATAGGGCCTGCCTGGAAGCGCCAAGGACTCAAGGCTATGGAATCGTGGAACTTGTGGTTTTATTATTATTATTATTATTATTATTATTATTATTATCTTTATTTGTACCCCGCTAGCATCTCCCAAAGGACTCGATGCGGCTTACAAAGGCCAAGGCCTCAAAACATAACATAACAATACACCTAAAGCAAATTAAAACAATTAAAGCAATATTAAAACAACAAAACAACAAGCAATAAACAATACACCAAAACACAATAAAACTGAGCCGGGCCAGAGTAAAGGGTACAGGATTAAAAGTGCTGATGTGACAGGTGATATGTAAGGATTATAGGGCAAGTGCAGTGTGCGGCAATCTTAATTCTAATAAAGTACTTCTGGGACTTGGTATTGGAGATTTCCTATTCTGGGAAGGCACATCGGAACAGGCAGGTCTTCAAGTTCAATTCTTGTGGGTTATTTCGGGCTATATGGCCATGTTCTAGAGGCATTTCTCCTGACGTTTCGCCTGCATCTATGGCAAGCATCCTCAGAGGTCACCTCACCTCTGAGGATGCTTGCCATAGATGCAGGCGAAACGTCAGGAGAAATGCCTCTAGAACATGGCCATATAGCCCGAAATAACCCACAAGAACTGAGTGATTCCAGCCATGAAAGCCTTCGACAATCCAGGTCTTCAAGTTCTTCCTAAAGACTGCCAATGTAGGGGCCTGTCTAAGATCTTTGGGGAGGATGTTCCAGAGTCGGGGGACCACCACAGAATAGTCCCTGTCTCGCGGCCCCACCAAACGCGCTTGCGACGCAGGCAGGATCACGAGCAGATGAATGTAGTGAACGTGTGGGTTCGTAGATGGAGATGCGGTCATGCAGGTAGGATGGTCCCAAACCGTTAAGGGCTTTGTAGGTAAGCACCTGCACCTTAAATTGGGCTCGGAAAATAAATGGCAATCAATGGAGTTCCTTGAACAGGAGGGTTGACCTCTCTCTGTAAGGAGCCCCAGTTAACATCCTGGCCGCTGCCTGTTGGACCAGTTGGAACTTCCGAGCCGTCTTCAAGGGCAGCCCCATGTAGAGCGCATTGCAGTAATCCAATCTGGAAGTGACCAAGGCATGGACCACTCCGTCCAGATCTGCCTTCGCGAGGTACGGTCGCAGTTTTGCAAGGTCTTTAATTTCTCCAAACTACAACACCGGAGCCCCCGGTGGCGCAGTGGGTTAAAGCACTGAGCTGCTGAGCTTGTTGATCGAAAGGTCGCAGGTTCGATTCCGGGGAGCGGCGTGAGCTTCCGCTGTCAGCCCTAGCTTCTGCCAACCTAGCAGTTCGAAAACATGCAAATGTGAGTAGATCAATAGGTACCGCTCCGGCGGGAAGGTAAGGGCGCTCCATGCAGTCATGCCGGCCACATGACCTTGGAGGTGTCTACGGACAACGCTGGCTCTTCGGCATAGAAATTTATTTATTATTTATTTATTTACTGTGCTTATAGACCGCCGTTCTCAGCCCTGGGGCGACTCACGGCGGTGTACAACATGTAAAATAAGGTGCAATTTACAACATAATCTAACATCAACTAGCAATATCAACAACATCATCAAACAACAACAATATCAATATCACCATCTCTCATGACATTCCGTAGAAAGTTGAAGACCTGGATGTTTGTGCAGGCGTTTGAGTAATTCAGTGCAATTTTGATAATTTGAACATAGGAACGGAACAATGGACGACGAATTTGGATCACGCTTGGATGATGAGGCGATCGGGGATGGGATTTGTGATAATTGTGTACTTACTTTACTTTACTTACTTACTTTTACTTAGGCGATCCCTCGTTGGACGAGTAAGATGGTCTTCCTTTATGGGTTTCCTTGTGGGTCCGTATGTGGCTGTGGAGCCCTATTCTTGCTCTGCATCTTCTCCCGTAGTGAGGGCATTGGTTTCCAGGTGGAAGGCGGTCCCGGTCGGGGTTGGCTTGACGCGCCTTCCTCTTGGCACGTTTCTCTCTTTCACTCTCCATTCGTGCCTCTTCAAATTCTGCAGCACTGCTGGTCACAGCTGACCTCCAGCTGGAGCGCTCAAGGGCCAGGGCTTCCCAGTTCTCAGTGTCTATGCCAGAGTTTTTAAGGTTGGCTTTGAGCCCGTCTTTAAATCTCTTTTCCTGTCCACCAACGTTCCGTTTTCCGTTCTTAACTTCAGAGTAGAGCAACTGCTTTGGGAGACGGTGGTCAGGCATCCGGACAACGTGGCTGGCCCAGCGGAGTTGATGTATTGATGATTGTTTATTAGCTAGTAATGGAAATGTGTAATTTAATTGTTATTGCATATTAATTGTTGCTGTTTTTATTGTCTTTGCTGTTGCTGTTTGGAAACCACTGTGAGTCGCCCTCGGGCTTGAGATACAGCGGTATACAAGAATAGTAAATAAAATAAAATAATAAATAAATAAATATCAATAATACAATTACAATTACAACAAGTCATTCGCGACGTCTCATCGTTGAACCACAATCCAAATATCATTTTCCGTGTTCCGTTCCTATCGTCATTGCCAATTATTGCACCACTTGTTCAAACGCCTTCTCGAACAACCACGTCTTTAGTCTCTTGCGGAATGTCATAAGGGAGGGTGCCAGTCTGATGTCCACGGGAAGGGCGTTCCACAGCCGAGGGGCCACCACCGAGAAGGCCCTGTCTCTCGTCCCCGCCAGGCGTGCCTGTGAGGCAGGCGGGATGGAGAGAAGGGCCTCCCCGGACGATCTCAAAGTCCTCGTGGGCTCATAGGCCGAGATGCGGTCAGACAGGTATTTTGGGCCAGAACCGTGATGAGCACGGTTGGAGATGAGCACCACCCCCCCAGAGTCAGACATGACTGGACTTCATGTCAGGGGAAAACCTTTACCTTTACAACACCCATAATTCCATAGCAGTGAGCTATTGCAGGTAAAGTGATGCCAAGCTACATGAATCCCACTGTGTAGTGGTAGGCCCAATTGTTTCTAGGCTGGTAAACAACCCAATTCCCTGAGGAGCAAGCTCACCTTCCTTCCTGGCGCGCCCGCTGCCTGACTCCAAGTGAGGCCACCGGAAGTGTGTCTCTTCCGCCACCGGCGGGTGAAGGGGCGGGGCGCAACAAAAGCCCCGCCCACACCACAGTACGCAGGCGCAGAGGAGGCGGAGGAGGCGCCCACTGTGGAGGCCGAGATGGGTTGCTAGGCGACGGGGCGCTTGAGTGGTTACCTAGCAACGGAGGAGCCCAAAGGACAGAGTCTCCGGGAGAGAAGCAGGAGTCGCCGCGGAGACGGGAAGATGAAGCAGCTCCAGTGCTTGTGCCAGATTTGCACCTGCGGGTAAGGCCGGCCACAGCCATGGCCCTCACACAGGAAACGAGCTGAGCCCCCTCGAGGGCTTCTTCCCAGGGACAGGCCTGGCTTTCCCTCAAGTCACCTCCCTGCCTGGCAGAGGCCTCAAAGAGACAGAAAAGCCTGGTTCTTGTGGGTTTTTTCGGGCTATAGGGCCATGTTCTAGAGGCGTTCTCTCCTGACGTTTCGCCTGCATCTATGGCAAGGCAAAGAGCACTTCTCTGCTGAAGCTAGGTGTGAATGTTTCAACTGACCACCTTCATTAGCATTTGAAGGCCTGGCTGAGCCTGGGGGAATCTTTTGTTGAGAGGTGTTAAGATGTGCCTGGTTGTTTCCTCTCTGCTATATGCAGGACTTCTTTGTGTGTGTATATATATTAGGCCTGGGCAAACTTGGGCCCTCTTTCCAAGTGTTTTGGACTTCAACTCCCACAATTCCTTACAGCCTTAGGCCCCTTCCTTTTCCTCTGAGGAGGCTTGCCACAGATGCAGGCCTTCGAATGCTAATGAAGGTGGTCAGTTGAAACATTCACACCTAGCTCCAACAGACAAGAGTCCTTTGTCCCACCCTGGTCATTCCACAGATATATAAACCCACTTTCCTAGTTCTAATAGACCTCACTACCTCTGAGGATGCTTGCCATAGATGCAGGCAAAACGTCAGGAGAGAATGCCTCTAGAACATGGCCATATAGCCCGAAAAAAACCTACAACAACCCATTTAGTAAACTGTTCTTGCAATAAGCCCCAAAACATTCTGATAACAAAAATGGAGTCTCTTCTCTGCTGGAGCTAGGTGTGAATGTTTCAACTGACCACCTTCATTAGCATTTGAAGGCCTGCCTGAGCCTGGAAAAACTTTTTTTGAGAGGTGTTAAGATGTGCCTGGTTGTTTCCTCTCTGCTGTTTTGCTGTTGTACATGAAAGGCACTGCAGACTAACTCTACCAGAGAAGTCAGCCATAGCAGAGCACCTGATGAACCAGCCTGGACACAGCATATTGTTTGAGAACACAGAAATGCTGGACCACACCAACAACCACCATGCCAGGCTACACAGAGAAGCCATTGAAATCCACAAGCATGTGGACAATTTCAACAGAAAGGAAGAGACCATGAAAATGAACAAAATCTGGCTACCAGTATTAAAAAACTCTAAAATTACAACAGCAAAACAGCAGAGAGGAAACAACCAGGCACATCTCAACACCTCTCAACAAAAGATTTTCCCAGGCTCAGCCAGGCCTTCAAATGCTAATGAAGGTGGTCAGTTGAAACATTCACACCTAGCTCCAGCAGAGAAGAGCTCCACCCCAGCCATCCCACAGATATATCAACCCATTGTCCTAATTCCAACAGACCTCACTACCTCTGAGGATGCTTGCCATAGATGCAGGCGAAACGTCAGGAGAAATTTACCATATCAGGAGACCGATTTGGAATTACTAATGTTGTTACACGATCCCTAGGCCAAATTAATGGTCTCCTTTTCCTGCATCTCCCCTTCCCCACCACGACTTCTATGGGGCCCCATCGGCTGACAGGACACCCCCCCCCCCTCCATGCCGCATTGCACATCCATAACTTCTACCCATTGTTCGTTATTAGTTATTTGATTTGATGGGGTATCAACTTGCCATAATCCTCCGTTCTCCACATTATCCACCCTTGTTATGTTGTTTCCAGATCTTTCCAGCCCGCTCCATGACTTTGCATGCATGACTCTCTAATGTGTGTATATGTATATTAGGCCTGGGCGAACTTGGGCCCTCTTTCCAGGTGTTTTGGACTTCAACTCCCACAATTCCTTACAGCCTCAGGCCCTTTCCTTTTCCTCTGAGGAGGCTTGCCACAGATGCAGGCGAAACGTCAGGAGAGACTGTTACTGGAACATGGCCATACACCCCGAAAAATTCAGGGCAACCCAACAATAAATTTTATGGGTTCTGAAAAAAATAAATTTTAATAATAAATTTTAATAAATTTTATGGGTTCTGAACAAAATCTGGCTACCAGTATTAAAAAACTCTAAAATTACAACAGCAAAACAGCAGAGAGGAAACAACCAGGCACATCTTAACACCTCTCAAAAAAAGTTTTTTCCAGGCTCAGCCAGACCTTCAAATGCTAATGAAGGTGGTCAGTTGAAACATTCACACCTAGCTCCAGCAGAGAAGAGCTCTTTGCCCCACCCCAGCCATCCCACAGATATATAAACCTTTTTTCCTAGTTCCAACAGACCTCACTACCTCTGAGGATGCTCGCCATAGATGCAGGCGAAATGCCTCTAGAACATAGCCCTATAGCCCGAAAAAACCCACAAGAACCTAGTGATTCCAGCCATGAAAGCCTTTGACGATACACAGAAAAGCCTGGCTTTGTTGGTCTGAACCAGAACTATATGCATGACTTCCTTGTGTGTGTATATATATTAGGCCTGGGCAAACTTGGGCCCTCTTTCCAAATGTTTTGGACTTCAACTCCCACAATTCCTTACAGCCTCAGGCCCCTTCCTTTTCCTCTGAGGAGGCTTGCCACAGATGCAGGCGAAACGTCAGGAGAGAATGCTACTGGAACATGGCCATACACCCCGAAAAATTCAGGGCAACCCAACAATAAATTTTATGGGTTGTTGTAGGTTTTTTCGGGCTATATGGCCATGTTCTAGAGGCATTCAATTGGTCCAACGTGCGGCAGCCATGTTACTAACAGGAGCGGGACGCAGGGAGCATACAACCCCCTTGTTGTACCAGCTCCACTGGCTGCCAATTTGCTACCGGGCTCAATTCAAGGTGCTGGCGCTGGCCTATAAAGCCCTAAACGGTTCCGGCCCAAGATACCTATCCGACCGCATCTTGGCCTACGAGCCCACCAGGACTTTGAGATCTTCCAGGGAGGCCCTGCTCTCAATCCCGCCTGCCTCACAGGCACGCCTGGCGGGGGCGAGAGATAGGGCCTTCTCGGTGGTGGCTTCTCGGCTGTGGAACACCCTTCCCGTGGACATCAGACTGGCTCCTTCCCTGATGATATTCTGCAGAAAACTAAAGACTTGGCTGTTCAAGAAGGCGTTCGAACAAGAAGTGCAATAATTGGTAATGACGATAGGAATGGAACAACGGAAGATGATACTGGATTGTGGTTTAGACGATGAGACAACGTGGAATTGCTTTTGTAGTATTGATGATGTTTTTTGATGATGATGTTTTTGGTTAATGCTGGATTGATTATTTTAGATTGTGTCTTGAATTTTGAACCTTGTTCTTTCTATGTTGTACACCGCTGTGAGTCGCCCCCAGGCCGAGAACAGCGGTATAAAGCAAAGTAAATAAATAAATAAATAAATAAATAAATTCTCTCCTGACGTTTCGCCTACATCTATGGCAAGCATTCTCAGAGGTAGTGAGGTCCGTTGGAACTAGGAAAAAGGGGGTTTATATATCTGTGGAATGACTAGGGTGGAACAAAGGACTCTTGTCTGTTGGAGCTAGGTGTGAATGTTTCAACTGACCACCTTGATTAGCATTTGATGGCCTGGCAGTGCCTGGAACAATCTTTTGTTGGAGAGGTGATTAGATGTCCTTGTTTGTTTCCTCTCTGTTGTACTGTTGTAATTTTAGATTTTTTAAATACTGGTAGCCAGATTTTGTTCATTTTCATGGTTTCCTCCTTTCTGTTGAAATTGTCCACATGCTTCTTGTGGATTTCAATGGCTTCTCTGCAAAGATAGTAGAAAATGAACACGCACAAATACTGTGGGACTTTCGAATCCAGACTGACAAAGTTTTGGAACACAATACGCCAGACATCACAACTGTGGAAAAGAAAAAAGTCTGGATTATTGATGTCGCCGTACCGGGTGACAGTCGCATTGAGGAAAAACAACAGGAAAAACTCAGCCGCTATCAAGACCTCAAAACCACGACTCTGTTGCATAAGTTTTTTTGTCATTCCCAATAATATTCTTACAGTTATCCCTCCCCATTCGCTGGTGTTAGGGGCACAGAAAGTAGGAAAACTGCAGATAGAAATAGAAAATGTTTTCTCCCAACCTGTACATTCCATAGATATATAAACCCCACTTGCCTAGTTTCCAACAGACTCACAACCTCTGAGGATGCTTGCCATAAGTGCAGGCGAAATGTCAGGAGAAATGCCTCTAGAACATGGCCATATAGCCCTAAAAAACCTACAACAACCCAGTGATACTGGCCATGAAAGCCTTCAACAATACATTATAAATACAATTAAAAATATAACATATAATAAAAACCAAACATATATAAATTCATAGTGCGTCCTTGTTAAAACGTTGTCCGGACCCATTGTCATTGTTCCATTTTCCTATGTCAGTTACTTTGCATTTGCAAACACCTGTTCAAAAAGCCACATCTTGACTTTTTTCTGGAAAAGGAGATGGCCGATCTAATATCTATGGGGAGGGCATTCCACAGCTGCGGGACCACCGTCGAGAAGGCTCTGTCTCTCGTCTCTGCCAAACGTACTTGTGACAAAGGTGGTATCGAGAGTAGGGCCTCCTCAGATGATCTTAAGGTCCTAGGTGATTCATAAGGGGAGATGTGTTCAGACATGTAAGGGGCCAGAACCAATTTAAGATCATCCGGGGAGGCCCTGCTCTCGCCCCCGCCGGCATCACAAATACATCTGGTGGGGACAAGAGACAGGGTCTTCTTGACTGTGGCCCCCCGCCTGTGGAACTCGCTTCCCACTGAGGTAAGATCGGCTCCATCCCTCCTGTCATTTAGGAAGAAGTCATGGTTCTGGGACCAGGCTTTTGGAAAACAGACATAGATAGCACTTTGGACATGGAATTGGATATGGAATGGACTGGAATGATGTTATGGCTATTAATACTGTTTGGTTTTTTTTACTGTTTTAATGATTTTTTTACTTATTGTTTTAATTGTTATTATATTGCTGTGTTATGTGTAGTGGCATCGAATTGCTGCCAAATGTAAGCTGTCCTGAATCCCCCTTCGGGGGTTGAGAAGGAATGGGATAGAAATACCGCAAATAAATAAATAAATAAATAAATAAGTGATAATTTCGGCAAAAAAGGTGAGCATTAGATTTGAGTAAATAGGGCAGTCTATTGAGACCCCTTGAGACTTTTCCTTGTTGCCATCTGCCTCTAAATTGTACCAGACTCCTGGCAATTTCAGTCAAACGTCTTGAGGGACCTGCTAACAGAACCTCTGAAGATGCTAGCCACAGATATGAAATATTAGGAAGATATTTACTGGAAGATGGCCATACAGCCCGAAAAATTCACACCGATCCATATTGAGGAATTGTTCGCAGACGGTTTACCCTCGTCTGCATTTATAAAGTGTGACTTGCCTAAGACAAATGGGTTTTTGTGGTTGAGCAAGTATTCAAACCTGATCACCCCAAATCCTAGTCCAACATGCAAGCAACTATACCATCCCAGCTCTACAAACTGGTGTTTTACTACCCAATGCAAATAACAGCTTCAGAGGAGAGATTTTCACGGCGTTGCAGCAAGGGATAGAATGATAGTCCCACACCCCACTATGCAGGAATATACATTCAGGATGAATCTTTTAAAACTCCCCTCCCTGCCTCTTTGTGTCCCCAGTAATTGTGGGCTCCAGCCCGGAAGATATTACTTGTATTAAAGTATATGTTAGGTGCAAAAACATTTCCATGTCTAATTTGGCTCTGAGAGCAATTCAGTGCTATCCTTGCATAAACATTTTGGAATGTGTCAGTAAAAATGGTTTGAAATAGGTTGTAAAAATTCTCATTTCTCACAGATGTATTCTTACTTCAGCAGGCGTAGAAAACAAGACATCTCTTGAGCCAACTTAGGTGCAACCAGATAGTTTAAGAAAGGAGATACAATCTCCATATTTTAATACAAGGTGCTATTGAGAAAGCGTGATTTTTCCAGTGTGTTCTGGCTTACAAACTAACTGCCAGGAGCCAATAACAATGAAACAAAAGTTATTCTTAACTTGTTTTTCCCAGTGAGCAGCATTCTGTGTCTCAAAGCTAGCTGTTTTTGAAACCTGGGGGGAATTTCAGAAGCATTTGGGGATATGTGATGAAGTCAGAAAAGGAAAAAATAAATAAAATCATGATATGAGCCAAAATAGATGCTGAAATCCTGATCATTAGGCAGCATAACACTGGAGGAAGCACAAAACCTTCAAGTCAAACTCACGTGTTTCCAACCTCTGCATAATAAGCAATGGCTTGCAAAATAAATATTGGCAACTATTTTGTAGTGAATACAGTATTAAATTTAAAGTGATTTAGGCAGCTGTCTGAACTTGTTTAGCTTTTGTTATGGTATTCAGTGTTTCAATGGGAAGACGTGTTTTGCTTAGGGATTGTTACCTGGGGAGTTTAAATACGTACACACTGGTCACTAAGAGGAAAAGAAACAATGGGAAAATACATAGTAGCCTTTCTTTTCTGTGTGACTAACAGAGACTGTATGTGCATTTAGCTAAAAGTCCTGTAAAACTCCAAACCCATGATTCCATAACATTGAGCGATAGTAATTAAGGTGGTGTCAAACTGCATTAATAAGATAAAAGTGGGGTATAAATATAATAAATGGTTATTATTATAAATTATCCAAGAGCCTAGCACTGTGTGATTAACACAGTGAAGTAATGTAAAGGGATTCATTACCCAAAAATAATACCAAGGGGGTATGTTACTGAAGAAAGTGCACTTCCTGGCTAAAAGACTTAAGAGACTTTCCTTTCATATAAGCCAATGAGAGAGGAAAGTGAGATCCTATTTATTTATTTATGCATTTATATGCCACCCTTCTCACCCCGAAGGGGACTCAGAGCGACTCACAAGATAGATAGATAGATAGATAGATAGATAGATAGATAGATAGATATTTCTGACGTTTTACCTCTAGCTTTTGCATCCATAATTGGGTACTGTCCATTATCTGTGCGGACTCCAAAAGTGGTCAAGACAGAAGAGGATAGTCCATTTTACCAGAGCAGGGGGGAGTTGATGGAGGAAAATTATTTCCTCCATTTTCCCTGGTTATACCCCCACGCATACACACCCATGCTTCCCGTGTCATAAACGATGGTCATTTCCCCCCAACAGTGACATGGGTAGGGGGGACTAACAGGGAAATGGGCAAATGGTCTTACTCCTTCAACCCTCTCGAAAAATTGATTTATTATTTATTATTGTTGTTAATATTATTACGTTAATTTATATCCTGCTTTTCTCCCAATATGGGATTCAAGAAAATGTATAAGACACAATGTTTAGATAATTTCTAAAAACTATGTTTAGATGTTGATTCTCCAAAAATAATTTCTAAAAACTATATATAACAGAAGGAGTGTTATATAAAATAATGCGTAGTATCTCATCATTGCAATTTCTGGCTTTGGTTTCTAATTCGCTGTGTGCTTTCATGGGAATGAATGTTTTATGTCTGCTTGACTCTACAAAAGACTGGAGGAGACAAAGGGCTCTTCTACACATGCCGTAAAATCTGGAAGTAACTGGGATAAAAGTAGAGGCTAAATGATATTTGGAGAAGCGCCCAAAGTAAATTTCCTCCTTTACTACAGCAGTTAGTTTCTTCTGCTTCTATTTCTTTCTACTTACTCATAATAAATTGGAAATAAGAAAGTTCCTCACAGTCCAGGACCTTGATTTTCCAATTGTTTGAAAAAATTGCAGAGGAAATTCTGTCTGGTGGAACATCATGTAAGATCCCAAACAAAATTTTACAAATGTTACACATTGAATGTTCATAAAGTAACAAAGAAATCAATCTTTGAGGGGCATTAAATACATTTATATTTAAATTCCCCACACCTCTCAATTTTTCTGATTAAAAAAACTGGAAAAGAACTGCTTTAAAATTATATATATAGCTCCATGAACCAGCCCGAACCCTTCGATCTTTGGGCGAGGCCCTCCTTTCGCCCTTGCCAGTCTCTCAGACTCGCCTTGTGGGTACAAGGGAGAGAGCCTTCTCCTCTGTGGCCCCCCACTCTGGAATTCATTGCCCGGAGAGATTAGGAAAGCCCCTACGTTAGAAACCTTTAAAAAGAATCTTAAGCCCTGGCTCTGCCGTTGTGCCTTCGGAGAGTAGCCACATAATTTTATGCTAGTGCTCCCTCAATGTTTTTGTCCCAGGAGTTCCCCCATGTACAAAGTTCCTACCTCCCTATGAGCTCTCCCTTACAATTAGTTCTCCCCCTTATCTCACTCGGAGTTTTTAAATAATTTTATGTACATTATGTACATCTCTGTCATTATGTTTGGTTTCTATGTTCTGGGTATATTGTTTTACATGTTTTGATGTTTTACATTTTAATGTTATGTTGTTTATTTTATTGCAATTTGTATTGCTATTTTGTAGTTTGTTGTTCGGACTTGGCCCCATGTAAGCCGCTCCGAGTCCCCGTTGGGGAGATGGTGGCGGGGTATAAATAAAGTTTATTATTATTGTTATTGTTATTATTATTATTATTATTATTATTATATTAAAACTTTATTTATATACTGCTCTATCTCCCCGAAGGGACTCAGAGCGATTCCCAGGTAACATCACAAAACATACAGAATAAAACAACATAACCATAAGATTAAGAAAACAATATAAGCATAAAATTGTCACCATGCTATGCTATGCTATAAATTGTGCTATGGCTTCAACATTTCTGGCAATTTTATATCTGTAATTATATTGATCAATGCTTTCTTCCTTTGTCTTTCTTTTTTGTTCTTCCTAAATTACAGGCGCCATTATTGTCCTCATAATCCGACAAGGATTTATGACCAAGGGGAAGAGGTGAACTTCCTTTCTGAATATGCGGAAAAGTACCCTGTCTATGGCAATGTCCTTCCTCCCCAGAGCCTCAAGCCCCAACAGCAACATCAGTCCAATGGTGGAAAAATGGAAGGCATCTCCACTTTCAAGTAAATATACTTCAATGATAGAAGGAAAGAGTCTTTAAGAAATCGCCTTGAAGAAAATAATGGGCAGATGAAGGGATTCGTGAAATTGTTTCCAAAAGGACTTGAAACATTAGAATGATCACTAAATAATTTGGCCCATATTTTAATGAGGATGTCCGATTGAAAAAAATAATAGCCAATGAATGTAATGAGTTGTACATGAAATCTATATCAATTTGTATATGACTAGAGCAATAATTCAGGAGCAAGAAAGCATTTTGCCTATTTCAAAAACAATAACATAGCAGATATCCAATTGTAAATGAATGTTTCATTGTATGTCAGTGGAAAGAGACACCTAACATCTGCAGTTGTCACAGATACCTGAATTAACAATAATTAACAGGTTTCTCTTTTTTCCTCCCGAATGTGGTATATTGTTAATTATCCAGACAGATTAATTTGTACTATCTAGATCTATACTGTTACATAATCCAGTTTTCAAATGCAAATTAATTGCACTGAACCGTATGAGTCTGTACTGCCATATTATCCTGATCATGTGCCTATATATCTGTGTTGTACCCTGCCTCGAGTTGCAAGAAAAGGCAGGTAATAAATAAATTATGATGCTGAAACAGGAATATATGATAGTTGAGATAGTTAGAGCCTAAGTGTCACAGTACTCCAGAAAAATAGCATCATCTTTTTAATATTTTAAATAATCTCTTCTTCTATCAAAGTATTTAACCCACTGCTGTGGACATGCTTTTACAAAAGAGCACCTAAGCTTATCACACTTAAATGCATCCTCCAAATAGGGGGCCCCTGGTTTTTTGTTTGGTTTTTTGTCGTGTCAGGAGCGACTTGAGAAACTGCAAGTCGCTTCTGGTGTGAGAGAATTGGCCGTCTGCAAGGACGTTGCCCAGAGGCCCCCTGTTGACACAGCAGGTTAAACCATTGAGCTGCTGAACTTGCTGACTGAAAGATCGACGGTTTGAATCCGGGGAACAGAATTAATTCCTGCTGTTAGCCCAAGCTTCTGTCAACCTAGCAGTTTGAAAACATGCAAATTTTAGTAGATCAGTAGGTACCGCTCTGGCTGGAAGGTAATAGTGCTCCATGCAAACATGCTGGCCACATGATCTTGGAGGTGTTTATGGACAACACTGGCTCTTCAGCTTAGAAATTGAGATAAGCACCACCCCCCAGAGTCGGACACAACTGGACTTAATGTCAAGGGAAACCTGTACCTTTATTTATTGCAAACTGGCAGAGGCGGACATAGGTAATTTTCAATGGTAAGCAAACAATATTTTGTCGTCCCCCCACGATGAACAGAATATTTTCTGTTCATCGTGGAAGTTCTGCGTGCCATATTTGGTTTAATTCCATCATTGGAGGAGTTCAGAATGCTCTTTGATTGTAGGTGAACTATACATCCCAGTAACTACAACTCGCATATGTCAAGGTCTATTTTCCCCTAAGAGCGCCTCAAGAGCACCCCTGGGCAAAATCAACTATACTGCAAATGCTTACTTTGCGTAATGGGTTGAGCCGCCCCTGTAGACTGGTGTCCTAATGGTGCTCTAACTGTATAGGGTTAAATAATGCAACACTTACCAAACAGAATATCAATCCTTTATTTTCCACTGTTTTATCCATTGTTGCCACAGTTGTTGCTCATTTAGTGCCTTCTGCTTCCTTCCTCCAGATCTGATTATCGTCCATATGAATTGGCAAATCGGCCCGTTCGAGCCCGAGAAGTGTACAAACCCAAGCCTGGAGAGATTGACCTTGGGACCACTTATAGAAGAGATTACAATGCTCACAAAGTACAACCAATAGTACTACTAAGACCTGTTGAAAGAAACTATGTTAAAGGAGACAAACTGAATACCATACCCACTTACCGAGGTAACAATGCCTTTTATGTTACTCAGGGAAGGAAGTGAGCGAGGATGGTGTGCTAGCTTGCTTTGCTAAAGAGACTATTGCTGGCTTGAATTCATCTGTTTACATAGGTGGTTGCCTGTTGTCCAAAGGTGCCCACTTGGGTATTTTGTAATTCATATTATCATTTATTTTAAGTATTAATGTCAATATTATTTATTTGTATTGTGTTGTATATTAATATTATTATTTTATAAATTAATACATTTGTTGTGTGTTGCAATAGATGTACGACCGGTAAATGCATCAGTCTGGCTAATGATCTTAACTGAGGCTTATTTTGGGGGATAGAACTTATATTACAAGAATTCTGAAAAACCATGCTAGGGCTTATTTTCTGGTTAGGCCTTATTTTTGGGAAAATAGGGTAGCTGTGTCCCCAGTAGCCCAGCAGGCTAAACCACTGAGCTACTGAACTTGCTGACTGAAAGTTCAGTCAGTTCGAACTGACTGAATGGCAGTTCGAATCCGGGGAGTGGGGTGAGCTCCCGCTGTTAGCCCCAGCTTCTGCCAACCTAGCAGTTCAAAAACATGTGAATGTGTGTAGATCAATAGGTACTGCTTTGATGGGAAGGTAAGTTTGGTCCATGCAGTCATGCTGGCCACATGACCTTGGAGGTGTCTACGGACAAGGCCAGCTCTGGCTTAGAAATGGAGATGAGCACCACTCCCAGAGTTTATTTATTTATTTATTTATTTCAAGTATTTTTACCCCGCCCTCCTCAACCCCCTGGGGGGGACTCAGAGCGGCTTCCAGCTGGCAACAATTTGATGCTTCCATGTACACATAATAAAATACAGAACAGAAACAGTAATTATATATAGTTAAAAACATTAAGCCAATACAGTTAAAATCTACTAAAATATACCAGTCTGGTGGCCATTATCTAGTCGAATTCTGTAGTTAGAGACTCATCAGGGTTGTCCATAGTCCATTACCATAGCAATTGTCGTCATTGTCATTGTCTGCATAGTTACCCAAAGGCCCAGGGCCATAGCCAGAAAAAAATTCAGGGAGGGTTGAAAATTTGGGGGGTGGAGGTTAGGGGGTTAGGGTCACGCTGAAGCAAAGAGCACAGGAGGGGGCAGAGCAGCCTTCAATAGCCTGCAGCTCCGCCCCTGTCAACCACCTCCACCAAGTCTGGCCTCCTTAATGAGAGCATTCAACATCCCCACCCCCAAACTTGGTTGCTTTGCTACATCGTCTATTGCTGCAAGTAATGACAGTGTGAATAAATTGTCAATATTTGCCTGAGATAGTGCTTGCAGTTCTGGAGAGATTCTTAATTTTTTGCATCTCATAGACTTAGCATGGGGATTTGGTTAACCAGTTAAAATTCATGAGTAAACCAGTTTTTTTTAACCTGAACATTTGTGGGGGGCGGGGGTTGAACCCCTAACCCCCCCTCCCCCCGGCTACAGGCCTGCAAAGGCCTGGTCCCACATCCACGTTTTTAACTTCTTTCTAAAGGTGAGGAGGAATGAAGACAGCCTAATTTCCCTGGGGAGTGAATTCCACAGGCAGGGGCCAACCCCGAGAAGGCCCTGTCCGAACGTATCTCCTTCTATATCCCACCTAGGAGCTTAAGATCTCCTGAGAGGCCCTGCCCTCGTCCCCGCCAAGCACTTTGTGATAGCGGCGGGGCCGAGAGCAGGGCCTCTCCAGAAGATCTTAAGCTCCTAGGTGGGACATAGAAGGAGATACGTTCGGACAGGTATGCTGGTTGGACACAACTAGACTTAATGTCAAGGGGAATCCTTTACCTTTACTTTAGGGTAGCTGATTCTGGATCAGATAGGTGCTACTCATAAGTCAGGGTTAGACATGCAGTTAATCTACTTATGGGACAGGGATGTAGAAAATTAACGATCTGGTCAGAATCTATTAATATATATTAATTAATGGTCACCTCTAGATTGGACTACTGTAATGCGCTCTACGTGGGGCTGCCCTTGAAAACGGCTCGGAAATTTCAACTGGTCCAACGGGCAGTGGCCAGGATGTTAACTGGTGCTCCTTACAGAGAGAGGTCAACCCTTCTGTTCAAGGAGCTCCACTGGCTGCCGTTTATTTTCCGAGCCCAATTTAAGGTGCAGGTGCTTACCTACAAAGCCCTGAATGGTTTGGGACCATCCCACCTGCGTGACCACATCTCTGTTTATGAACCCACGCGTTCACTTCGTTCATCCGGAGACGCCCTGCTAGTGATCCCGCCTGCGTCGCAAGTGCGTTTGGTGGGGACATGAGACAGGCCTTTTCTGTGGTGGCCCCCCGACTCTGGAATACCTTCCCCAAAGATCTTAGACAGGCCCCTACACTGGCAGTCTTCAGAAAGAACTTGAAGACCTGGCTGTTCCGATGTGCCTTCCCAGAATAGGAAATCTCCAATACCAAGTCCCAGAAGCACTTTATTAGAACTAAGATTGCCGCACACTGCACACTGCACTTGCCCTATAATCCTTACTTATCACCTGTCACATCAGCACTTTTAATTCTATACCCATTACTCTGGCCCGGCCCAGTTTTATTGTGTTTTGGTGTATTGTTTATTGCTTGTTGTTTTGTTGTTTAACATTGCTTTAACTGTTTTTAATTTGCTTTAGGTTGTGTATTGTTATGTTGTGTATTGAGGCCTTGGCCTTTGTAAGCCGCATCGAGTCCTTCGGGAGATGCTAGCGGGGTACAAATAAAGTTAATAATAATAATAATAATAATAATAATAATAATAATTGGTTTTTGTTTTACAGATGACTATAGGGCCTGGGAAGTTCAAAAAATTGAGCCCCATAAAGCACCAAACACTTACAATCCTCCTACAGAAAAATTTGGGAACACCACTACCTTTCAGGATGCCTTCTTTCCTAAGGAAATCGCAGTCCAAAAAAGTTTTAAGCCTACTGTTTCGACCAGACTTTCAGATCAACCTTTTAATGCCATGTCAAGCCATCGCAGTGATTATATCCCTCACTACCTTGAACCCAGATTCAAAAAACCAAGAGAAGAATACAAGCCAAATAGCCAGCCCTTTGATAACACCACAACCCACCGGTGTGATTTCAGGGGACTTGTTGGAGAGGTTCCCAAAAGCTGCAAGCCTGAACAACAAGCGGCACCAAAGGGTCAATTTGAGGGAATTTCAGAGTTCCGCGATCGCTTTCAACCCTGGGCCGTTTCCTTACCTGAAGTCCGCAAAGCCAAAGAGTACGTTCCCCCCACAGGCAGCATGGATCTGAACACCACAAGCCACCTTGATTATGTCCATCATGACGTCGGTCCCATCGTCCTCATGAAACCATTACAAAAGAGCACCAGAAATACCGCCCCTTTCATGGGGACTACGACCATGCGGGACGCCTTTCAAGCCTGGGAGGCTTCTCGGCCAGAGGCTTGCAAGAAGGCCCAGGATGCATTGAAGCCCTCAGGGAAGTTTGACGGCCGGACCACCTTCAGAGATCACTACGTACCGCACAACATAGCTCCAGTTCAGAGCTGCAGGCCTCCCAGGATGCCTCTAACTAGCTCAGCACCTTTTGAGGACCAAAGCATGTACCGTACGGAATACACGCCAAAGAGACAGGAAATCTGCCCAGCCGCCTATGCGTTGCCTTTGGGATACGAGTTTGTCAGCAGCGATTCCGGCGGTCACAAATTCTTCCGCAGATTGAGCTCAGATATCCCGAACATTGCCCAAGAAAATGGTAACCGTATGCCGAAAGAAATAGCAGTTATAGCATAACTCAGAATTGTAGTTGTTTGCCACTAAGCAGATGGAAATTATTGTGCAAAGGTAGACGACTGAAATGGGTCTAAATGTTTTAATCAGCACGGTGATTATAAGATTTGGGGAAATCTGAGAAATTACTTCATGATGGAAATGTATTCGTAAAATGTGTGTCAGTCAAAATTTCTTTTCTGTAACTAGACCTTATGAGATGTGTTTGTCTTAACCAAATAGTGCCTTTCAGCAATAATTTTGAACATTGATTTTAATACAAGCACTGTTGAATTACACCCAAGAAGGCGTAACGCCTAAATCATATACGTAACTTTTCTAGTTTGGGTATATGGATTTACGGTGACTCGATTGAACAATATAGACAGAGGACCTCATGTTGCTTCTGTTGTTGTTGGAGCACTTTTTTCATGTCAGGAGCGACTTGAGAAATTGCAAGTTGCTTCTGGTGTGAAAGAATTGGCTGTCTGCAAGGATGTTGCTCAGGGGATGCCCAGATGTTTTATGACCATGGGGGGGGGGGGGGCTTCTCTCATGTCCTCACATGAGGGATGATGATTTTGGACAATGTTTTTAATTAAGAGACACATGTGATTTATGCTTTAATTGATCTTGTTATAATTTTATATTATATGTCAATGTTTTTAAATGTTTTATGCTGTTGTTGGGCATTGAATTGCTGCCTCTGTTAACTGCCCTGAGTCGCCTGCGGCCTGAGAGGGGTGGTATACAAATATAGTAAATAAATAAATAAGCTGGAGCTGACAGACAGGAGCTCGCCCTGGTCCCTGGATTGGAACCGCTGACCTTTTGGTCAGCAGTCCTGTCAGCACAAGGGTTTAACCCATTGCACCACCGGGAGCTCCACTTATTTATTTATTTAATTACTATATTTCTATACTTATGTCCTATGAATTGGAAAAGCTGGAAAAGTTAAAATAGGTTAGAACCATGTATATTGTTGTGTGCCTTCAAGTGTTTCTAACGTACATAGGGACTGGGACTTGCACAGGTTTCTATGACCAAATTCCTTATCACACTAGAAAAAAAATCCACTTAAAATTCGGTTTCTGCCTTCTGCAGAATTCTGGGGTTTGTAGTTTAGGGAGGAGCCTTTTACAGTCCAAAGTCCAATGCTCAGACCGCTACACCATGCTGGCTCTTGGCATGTATACAGGTATATTCGTTAAAACATTATTAAACTTTCTCATGTGTCCTTACATAGTGTATTGACAGTCCCAAAGGTACAAACAAGATACGTTATGTAGGTTTGTTTGTATGTAAGTTGAAACAGGTACATTTTTAAATGTAACTCCAGCCAAATATATATATTACCTTAGGATCGCATAGGGAAGGGTTAACACCCCTGTGGTGTTTGTTTTGCTGTCTGTGGCCCTGTTCAGAAGATTTCACCTCACTTTCTGTCCCTGTGATAATTGGATTTTGCAAAATTTGGCTTGCTGTGAAAACAAAGCTTCAGTGGAGACACCTTGTCTCCATGCTAGTAACTTTTTCAAGTGAATTTCCCTTCCAAAGGGATATTTCTTTCACTTCCTGTTGCCTCAGCCCCGTTCTTTGCTATGAGTCATTTGTAAGTCTGATATTTGGAACGTGGGGACTGCTGGTATTGATTTCACTGTTGAGATACAAAGGAGAGCCCCTTCAGTGGCCCTTAATCCTTGAACATGTATATGTGTATGTGTGTGTGTGTATGTATGTATGTATTAGGCCGGGTAACAACGGAAAAATTTGTTTCTAAAATCGATTCGTTTTTTGGGGTTTTTTGCGTTTCGATATTTAAAAGAATTCCGAAATTTTCCTTTAAAAAGTTCGATATTTACGAAATTTCGTAAATGGTAAAAAAATAACGAAACAATAACGAATCGATTCGTTAATGGCGGCCGCGATCGCGCAATACGCTAAAAAAACTTCTGAAGCTTCCCTCTTCCTCTGTTGTTGACTGTTGGTGTGATATTATAATTTTTTTTCACTAATTAAACAAAAAACAACTATAAAACTTGCCCCAGACATGCGGAAATAATAACGAAACGACCTCAAACCAATAACGAAACGAATACATAACGAAATACGAAGCATTTACGAAACGAATTGAAAAATTCGTTTCGTTTTTAAGTTGCTCCAGAATGGTTCGTTATCGCTTCGTTAACAAAAAAATTAACGAATTTTTAACGAATTACGAATTAACGAAACGAAACCGCCCAGCCCTAGTATGTATGTATGTGCATGTGTGGAGGGGTAGTTCTTCAAATATCAAGGAATCAAGCTGTTTAGTGCTTGAAAGTTAGAAGCAAAAGTGCTTGAGATTGAGATTATATGGTGTCCATATGGTACTTCAATCTAGGTCAGTGGTTCCCAACCTTTGGACCTCCAAGTGTTTTGGACTTCAGCTCCCAGTTCCTAACAGCTGGTAAGCTGGCTGGGATTTCTGGGAGTTAAAGTCCATAACACCTGGAGGCCCAAAGGTTGGGAACCACTGATCTAGGTGATGTGCTGTACGCTAGCTGCAGCACCTGAGCCCTCGTCAAGGATGACCCCATGTACATTACTAAAATTAGAACATTAGCATTGTATGGTCTACTATGGATAGATTATCCCTATCCAGGAAAGTATACCACAAGCATTGAGCCATAGCATCACCCTGAGCCTCCAGTAACAATGAGTGCATCTACACTATAAAGTAATGCAGTTTGATATCACTGACCCCCCAGTGATGCAGTGGGTTAAAGCGCTGAGCTCTTGAACTTGTTGACTGAAAGGACACAGGTTCAAATCCGGGGAGCAGGGTGAGCTCCCGCTATTAGCCTCAGCTTCTGCCAACCTAGCAGTTCAAAAACATGCAAATCATAGAATCATAGAGTTGGAAGAGACCTCATGGGCCATCCACTCCAACCCCCTTCCAAGAAGCAGGAAAATTGCATTTAAAGCATCCCCGACAGATGGCCATCCAGCCCCTGTTTAAAAATTTCCAAAGAAGGAGCCTCCACCACACTCAGTGGCAGAGAGTTCCCCTGCTGAACGGCTCTCACAGTCAGGAAGTTCTTCCTGATGTTCAGATGGAATCTTCTTTATTGTAGTTTGAAGGGTTCAATAGGTACCGTTCCAGCAAGAAGATTCTGGCAGTCATGTTGGCCACATGACCTTGGAGGTGCCTATGGACAATGCTGGCTCTTCAGCTTAGAAATGAGGATGAGCACCACCCCAGACTCAGCCATGACTGGACTTAATGTCAGGGGAAAGCTTTACCTTTTATCACTTTAATGGCCATGTTTCAATATTATGGAATCACTTGAGTTGTAGTTTTACAAGATCTTAAACATTCTCCACCAAATAGTGCTGGCACCTCATTGAACTACAATTCCCATTATCCCATAGCATTCAGCCACAGGATTTGAAGTGGTATCGAACTGCATTAATTCTAGTCTAGAGGCACTCAAGGATTTCTTCCTTGGATGAGGGCAAAGTCCCATCTTGAGCAGGTCTTTTATTTTCTTTATCTAATTAATGTCTGCAGCCAAGTTGTTTCCTTCCATTCACTTTCCAATAAGCTATAAAACCTTGTGTAAGATAAACACTCTTTTAGTCACTTGTTGTGAGAAGACTAACACCAACTGAAGCATATAGTCTGGATGTCTGTGAACATGTCATTTCTATGTAATAAATAATAATAATAATAATAATAATAATAATAATAATAATAATAATCTTTATTTATACCCCGCCACCATCTCCCCAGTGGGGACTCGGGGCAGCTAACATGAGGTCGAGCCCAAAATAATACAACAAAATAATACACAAAATAATAGAAAATTAAGTTATGTAGTAGCCATAGTGACTACTACATAAAAATAAAATGCTGCAGATCCCTGGGGGTCAAAATGTGAGACAAATCATACAAGTTGTGCCTTCCCTTCCCTTTGAAAACCTTTAATAAGAGCAGGAGGCTAGTGATCTCCTCGCAGTGGCAGTGTTTCCATCTCAAAGACCTGAGGATGGAAAACAGCGCTTCACGCTTTCAGGATACTTAATATATATTACTGGGCATCAGCCATTCCAAATCATGCTAGATTAACTTGCACATTAAGCAGGATTTTATATAGGACAGATTATATTTTGTATATCTTATATATATTTTATATATCTCAGCACAACAAGCAAAGTTGCGAGTGTGCAAAACCAATCCAGTTCAAAATAGATAGATTATGTCCCTGAAAGCCATGGAATCCACATTTATATTTGTACTGTATTAATCTATATTTACTTATTTCTACAATGTTTGTGTACTGCCTTTCAAAGTTAATGATGCTCAGAGTGGTTTACAAAAAGGTATTTTAAATTTCTAAGTAGATGCTTATACATTCCTCACATTAACAGATACAGAATACCAAGCACTTTTTCAGTATATGTATAAATCTATACATCTTTATTCAGAGGTCAGACTAACTTATACATTTGTATGCAGTATGCTTGGTATCACAGCTTAGCTGTGGACTTGACCATAACTAGCTGTAGCTTGGTTTGGCCTGGGATGTGAAACTTACTCCAGATTGGGTTGCTGTACTGTATGGCCATGTTCCAGAAGCATTGTCTCCTGATGTTTCACCCACATTTATGAACCCCTCAACCTCTGAGGATGCCTGCCATAGATGTGGGCAAAACTAACAAAATGAAGTTCAACAGTGACAAATGCAAGATACTCCACTTTGGCAGGAAAAACGAAATGCAAAGATACAAAATGGGATGCCTGGCTCGAGAGCAGTACGTGTGAAAAAGATCTTGGAGTCCTCATGGACAACAAGTTAAACATGAGCCAACAATGTGATGTAGTGGCAAAAAAAGCCAATGGGATTTTGGCCTGCATCAATAGGAGCATAGTGTCTAGATCTAGGGAAGTCATGCTCCCCATGCTCTATTCCGCTTTGGTTAGACCACACCTGGAATATTGTGTCCAATTCTGGGCACCGCAATTCAAGAGAGATATTGACAAGCTGGAATGTGTCCAGAGGAGGGCGACTAAAATGATCAAGGGTCTGGAGAACAAGCCCTATGAGGAGCGGCTTAAAGAGCTGGCCATGTTTAGCCTGAAGAAGAGAAGGCTGAGAGGAGATATGATAGCCATGTATAAATATGTGAGAGGAAGTCACAGGGAGGAGGGAGCAAGCTTGTTTTCTGCTTCCCTGGAGACTAGGACGTGGAACAATGGCTTCAAACTACAAGAGAGGAGATTCCATCTGAACACGAGGAAGAACTTCCTGACTGTGAGAGCCGTTCAGCAGTGGAACTCTCTGCCCCAGAGTGTGGTGGACGCTCCTTCTTTGGAAGCTTTTAAACAGAGGCTGGATGGCCATCTGTCAGGGGTGATTTGAATGCAATATTCCTGCTTCTTGGCAGAATGGGGTTGGACTGGATGGCCCATGAGGTCTCTTCCAACTCTAGGATTCTATGGTTCTATGAAAACATCAGGAGAGAATGCTTCCGGAACAT